ATGCTCCATGGGGTGTGTGTGTGTGTATTCCTTCGGTCGATTTTGTGACACGGACAGTCAGACTCCGCACACCGGTAACACAAACGAGGAACCAGAGAGCATATGGAACCGCTCAGCTGGCACTCGCTCGTGATACCTTGTGTGTAGTGTGTTTTGGTGTATGTAGTGCAAGTGTGGTGCAAGTTGGTGATTAGGACACATCACTTGTTGTCATCTACTTCTGTTGGTGATTAGGACACATCACTTGTTGTCATCTACTTTTGTTGGTGACTAGGACCTTGCAGTGGCTGGCGTGGACCCACGTAGCTCTCTCTCTGACCCTTGGCCTTCAGAGCTGTCCTACTGTAGTTATTGGGTTAACACTTGATAGGGATGTTTTCCTGAGTGCAGACAACTCAAGGTAATGGATTAGCACATTATCATTTAAATACAAAAATAGGATAGGCCCCTCAGAATTATTTGGGAGCCTTCCTGAGACATGTACATGCATAAATGTAAGGTTTGTGTTAGTCATTTAACATGCAAGAATCATATACTCATCAGTCCAAAGCAGAGAAATGTTATTGTAATTTAAAGGTGAGCTAGTCCCTGCGGATATCACCCCTTCTCAATGATTCTAAATGTTATATTAATTCACCATTTACCGTTTGATAACATATTAGTTTATTTTCCTCTTCCATAAAACAGGTTTGAGAAATAAATGTTCCAATATAAAATCAATTACTCAATATAATTGACTCTTCCCTCCCTTTTCTTACATATGTCTCATATGAAATAATAACTTAGGAGTCTATTTAAGCATGGTGTAATCTATTAATCGAGAAGACTCAGTATCACCTGTGTGCAGCTTACAAAAAAACAAACAATTGTGAGAAACATATTATGCAGGAACTGTATACCTTTGTTGAAAAACAAAGCATATCTGATTTGGGAGGAAAAGCTTCATCCCCCTTAACATCTGAGTTATTACTGAAAGCATAGCATAAATGATAGTGGGTGTCTGAGGGTGTTTTTACTGAGAAATGTCAAACACATTCAAAACCTTACATTTGAAAACAGGTTTGCATTCCTTCTCTTAAAATGACGTTATCATTGGAAACAATAAAAGCTAATTGTTTTGATGTAGAATCTATCAATTGAATTGTTAGAGCAGAACAGAATGGTCGTATTGTAGCCTGAGTACCGTGCAGCCTTCAGTTTCACCAGGTGGAAACATTGTCCATATAATGTGAATACATGTAGAACTAGACATTAAGAGGCTCCTGACATTAGGCCTATTTTAAAAATAGTAGGGGCTTTTAACAGCTTGCCAACCTACAGGCATCCTCTGCATAGCAGTATGAATAGCCTTAAAAAAAACAACCCACTCTGCCGTAACGAGAGTCATATTTCTGAACCAAATGCCCTAAGTTAAGCCGTTAGTCCCATCTGACTGACCCAAGGGTTGGTGCTGGTGTGACCGGGAGGCTTCCAGGTGTTCAAAGCAGATGTCAAGCTTTCAGTTCATGGCTTGGTGGGGGGAGTGGCCCACGTGAGACAGTATTGTTCAGTTTGAGGAGCGGCATTGTCTCTGGAAGCAGGTAATGGTGTCCATTCTCAGACCAGACCATTAATGTCATTTCATGTAGAGCAGCCATAGCATCTCTGTGACTGCACTCAGAACTGTGTCAGAACTGGGTGATTCTTAGTGAAGCCGTCCAAGGCCATAGACAGAATGGAACCACGTACCAACAAAAGGGACACAAGGTCATCAATGTCTCTCTTTACCATTGGCCTAATTGCACAACAAATTAGTGGGAAAAATGTGGAGCACTAATCCATCATGTGAAATGTTGAGTTAATCTAAATAATTACTTATGGGTTGAAATCAAATTAACATTAGAACTAAAGTCAGTCATAATTGGACTTTGCACGGATCCGAATCTAAGCAATACACCATTTCCCCAGCTCTGTAATGAAAAGGATAAGAAGATTAGGTACATTACAGGAGTGTTCGACACCCAAACATGCACACTTATCTTATTCTAGTAGAGATTAGAGGACAAGGTCTAATGTTGTGAACAAAATGATCAAATCAAAGTTATTTTGTTTATTATATGTTATGTACCACATTTAATTTAATAATTAATCTTGAATTACTAATAACCTTAAAGAAGGCAACAATTTACAATTTGGATGAAGTGATTACTCATCCAAAGTGTGTGTGTGTGCCCAAGGTTTAAAACATTTGGGACAGCACAGCAGTGAGAATGTTATGAGAACCAATCTGTTGTTTATACTAAACTCGAAGGAAGCTAGACTGGAACATTTTAAATAAATCAAAACACTTGCACATTAATTAAATAGATTTCACATTTAGCTCGAGCTGGGTTCAATACTTTTCTTTATGGTATTTAAAATTGGGCTCGAGTAGAACCCCTGGATTTGGCTTGCAACACAAAGTGATACTGATCTCTGTAGGACTTGGAAGTGTTATGATTCAAAGTGCCTGTGAAAGAGAGGCCCTTGGAAAACAACACCTATTTTTTAACTGTAATGACTTATTTTAAAGAAATTGCAACATTATAGTTTTAAAGAATTGCTCAATTAATTTAACACATTTATTATGCACACAATAAAAACTTCAACAAATATATTGATCCTGGCTTAACCAGCAACCTTTACTCTGTTGTTCATAAGCTCGGTTTCAGAAAACTTGTCAGTAGTTTAACAACTATTTTAATTTTAGTATTGTCTATGGAGACCAATTGGTTGATACTAGAAATAATTTGAAGCAGTTTAATAAAGAATGTTAAACTATTTTTAAAAATGTAATTGAACTTCAACTTATATTAATTCTCCTGATTCCAGTGGCCAGTTGGAATGAGACAATTAACACAGTTTCCATTTTGCTGCAACAGCGCAAAAGGTTTCAACAACAATTAGTATTATGTCTGAGTCTAGTTCTGCTTTGTTTCGGAATGTGTTCAATACATTACGTTTTTATTCATTATTACTATACAATACATAGATTAAGAATAAATGAAACAAATAATACAACATTGACCTAAAACCAGATTTTGCAACCCTGATCTCCTCAGGCAAGTCTCTGAGGGTCTCGGGGCGCAGGACGGGCATAGGGTTTATACAAGGTCACAAAGATATCTTAACATACCAGCAATACCATTTAAGAATGGATTATTAAAGCAATATAATCTTAGTTTCTTCTTACACCTAGCGCTCACCCTGAACAGTGTGCTTCTTGTTTACATTTTCCCCTGCACTCAGAGGCAGGACATAAAAACACTTTTTATTTTTCTCAGGTCATTTACTTTTTGGTGAGATAATTAAAGTTTAGTTCATTTTACCCTGTCTATGGACTGATTCATTATTGTTACAAAACATACACAAGACGGCGGGACAAACCAATATAGACCCCCATACAAACAATCAGACAAACAAAACATGAACTCGTAATAAACACCAGCGCGACAGCAAAGCTCATCCAGCTCAATTTAGTCCGGATTTTAGAGATCTTAGAGGGGGTGGGGAATTAGTGGGGCGTCTTCTCACGCCTCACCCTTGTATACAAGTTATTTATCGGTGCCTGAAAGCCGTCCAAGAGCGGTAACTAGCTTATCCTCTTGCGACAACCACTAGGTTATTTGTTTCTAGTGGCGCTGTGCCCCCCCGATCGGAGCCCACAGACTTTTTCCCTGCCCTTTCTCTCCAAACAACAGCTCAGTTGACTGTAGTCCGTACGACCAGCCTATATACACTTGCTATCGAGTTCACCTCAAGGTGAAACACAGTTTGCCTATGCTTGCTTGCCACTACACACCTCTGATCAATTAGCCTATAATTTTATGTATGCACTCCTGACCGCCACCTGCTCCAGAGAGCCGTAGCGCATCGGGTGATGCACGCACTTCGCGCTGGCCCGTCTAACCATGAGAAAAGCGGTCCTAAACAACGAGTGCTTTTAGACCGTCCCGTTTGAAGGACGGTGGTGCCGTGAGTTAAAACCTAGACAATAAGCTGTGACTTTCTCCCTCTCAGCCTGCACTGCTCCAGCCCCACACACACGCGGGGAGGTTTTACACACACACGCAAGGCTGCAGCTGGAGCCGTGTTTTTACAGAGAGGTGATAGCAGTAAATATCTCTGGCTGCTTATTTTCAACTGCTATGTTTGGCCGCTAAGACCCTCAAAATCCGGCGATTTGTCCAATACAAATCTTTTACATTGCTTTCAATTCACACAGAAGCTCCACTTCACTGATGCCCTTTCTTTAAGGTATCTCTAAACATGAGCTGTGTATGCCTGTATGGCACTTCCGTCCCGAGCAGCATACACAGAGGAAATAAGCCAGGACTGAGTCCCCAGACACTGATCTCCTGGGTTTATCATCCCCAAATGTTCATTAACCAAAAGGAAACGCAGCCGATCAGTTTCACAGGTAATTTTAGGATACCGTCAATCACAGATTCTGATAAGGCAATGTCCAAATGTAGATTTGAAAATCACACTTACCAGCTCTGTAGATTTATTGGCATCCTGCCGACAACGCCAATTTGTAGAGGAAACTTCTGTGTAGCTATGCAGTGGGAGTCACCGACTCAGGAAGGAGACACGGGAAGAGCAGTAGCTTTGATGTCAAACACATGATGGTTTATTTGGAGTTAACGGCCGGAGGATTCACATCACAAGTCCAAGAGTCAGAGGTTCTGACTTCACGGTAGAGTTGCCACGTCAATTCTGAAGAACTCTACCCCAGACCCATGTATTTAGCTAGTTCAGAGAGCATCATCAACATGCTGCATAACAAGATAGAATGATAACACCTCTATCAGCTGACGCCAACAGGCAGGAACAGGGAGACAAAACACTGAGAGCACAGCAGCCAAGGTTACAGGTGCCTGTGCTCAGTCAGGACAGTTTGAACTGATACACTGGGTCAAAGTTATGGGCCTTGGAAAATATTTCCACAACAGGTTCACAACTTTTGAAATTTAAATATATTGCAATATATAATAAAGCTTTATTTATAAATCCCTTTTCATAAAGCACGTGTAGCTCAAAGTGCTTTCCAATCACAAGTTAAAAATAAACCACGAGAAATTCCCCTCAGATCAGATGTTAATACCTTTACAGGTACATAGCAACAACATATATATATATATATATAAAAATATTTGTAGAATTATAGTACAACTAATGAATACAGCATTTCATATTTAAACATCATACTTATAAACAGTAGAAACAAAAAGTAAGTAGAATTTTTTTAAGATTACTTTGAAACATTCTCAACGGAAAATAACAAGATTTAGAAAATGGCGACATATGTTCAGATTGTCCATTTGAAGGAGCAGTGTGCAGGATTTAGTACGTCTAACATTGGGGATGTAGGTTCCAACCAATGGATAACTTGTTCACTCACCCTCCTATCCCAAGTTTGTAGGATAATGTATGTTGTCTGCAAAAAACATGAGGCCCAATCACGTTTCCTCTGTCCATTCTGCACTACTGTAGACGTGGCAGTGCAACCTAGAGGACAAACAGATCAGAATCAGAAACGGGTTTATTGCCAGGTAGGTTCACACGTATGAGGAATTTCACTAGGTGTCGTGGTGCATACATACAAATAAAAAAAAGCACACAGATAGCAAACTATATTAAGAACACTAATAAAAATATAGTAAGATAGCAATAAAATAAAGCAGTAATTTACATCGAAATAGAATGCAATAAATTATAGAATATAAAATATGTGCAGTAAGCAATATTTAAACATTGCATTATTTACCATCCTGTGATCTCCATTATGTAATGCATAGAGTCTGCGTTGTGGCTGAGGTAAAGTGTCAGTGGGGGGGGGGCGGGCCTTGTTGAGGTAGAGAGAGGTTTTGGTCCTGATGGAGAGAGGTTCTGGTCCTGATGGAGAGGTTTTGGTCCTGGTGGCGAGAGGTTTTGGTCCTGATGGAGAGAGGTTCTGGTCCTGGTGGAGAGAGGTTTTGGTCCTGATGGAGAGAGGTTCTGGTCCTGATGGAGAGAGGTTTTGGTCCTGGTGGCGAGAGGTTTTGGTCCTGATGGAGAGAGGTTTTGGTCCTGATGGAGAGAGGTTTTGGTCCTGATGGAGAGAGGTGTTGGTCCTGATGGAGAGAGGTGTTGGTCCTGATGGAGAAAGGTTCTGGTCCTGATGGAGCGCGGAGGGGAGGGGGGTGAACAGTTTGTGTCCAGGGTGGGAGGGGTCGGCCACTATCTTCCCGCCTCAGGGTTCTGGAGGCATGCAGGTCGTGGAGGGATGGCAGATTACAGCCGATCACCTTCTCTGCAGAGCGGATGACACGCTGCAGCCTGCCCTTATCCTTGGCTGTGGCTGCAGCGTACCAGATGGTGATGGAGTATCCTTGGCTGTGCTTTTTTGGTGAGGGAGCAGATGTTCTGCTCCCGTTTGAGGTCCTGGGCGATGATGGTGCCCAGGAAGCAGAAAGATTCCACAGCAGTTACTGGGGAGTCACACAGAGTGATGGGGGTGGGTGGGGCTGCGTTCTTCCTAAAGTCCACAACCATCTCCACTGCCTTGAGAGCGTTGAGCTCCAGGTGGTTATCCCCACACCAGGTCACCAGATGGTCCATCTCACACCTGTAGGCAGACTCGTCCCCACCAGAGATGAGTCCGATGAGGGTGGTGTCGTCTGAACTTCAGGAGCTTGACAGACTGGTGACTGGAGGTGCAGCTGTTGGTGTACAGGGAGAAGAGCAGAGGGGAAAGAACGCAGCCTTGAGGGGAACCGATGCTGATGGTCCGGGAGTCAGAGAGGTGTTTCCCCAGCCTCACGTGCTGCTTCCTGTCAGACAGGAAGTCTGTGATCCACCTGCAGGTGGAGACGGGCACGTGCAGCTGGGAGAGCTTGTCCTGCAGCAGAGCCGGAATGATGGTGTTGAACGCGGAGCTGAAGACCACAAACAGGATCCTGGCGTAGGTTCCTGCTGTGTCCAGGTGCTGGAGGAGGAAGTGAAGTGATAACTATTAGTAAACCATAATGATGGATGTTATTATCAGCAGCTGCCAATAGATCCCCTACATCTTGTATGATGGACCTTTGAAGCAGGGTTACACAAAACACACACACACAAAATTGTAAAACAGTTATTGAGAGCATCCCAAGGGCATTGATCCTATGCTAAACCTTCCAGAACTCTAATACCTTAGAAACGACAACTAGCCGTTGGCACGAATGTAATGCTTCAGCTTCCTACAACTTTAAAGCTGTGTGGACGTGGCTCTATGAAGAGTCGTTCATATTTTCTCATTATTTCATAAGTTTAGAAGGGGTAACAACAGTTACCTTTTGTTAATTTTACCTCGAGCCAAACTTGTGCGACTTGTTTCTGAAATCCCTTTCTCTTAAAGTGAATACATAAAATAAAAAAAACAGTGGAGCTTACCCTAAAACTAACCACTGGATAGGGTTAACCCTAACCCATATATATTTTTGTATTATTATTTATTTTTTAAATATATATCATATAGCACCAAATTGCAACTAATCTATATCTACGGTCACTTTTCACATTGAACATGAGCTCTTTTATTAAATAAACTTAACGCTTTCATTTTAAGTTGAGTTTAGTGTTTTTGACCCTAAGAAACACTGATGCATTAATCAATAACAATAATCCACAGCTCCTCTCTCTGCTCCAGAGGATTTAAAGAATATATTAGGGATCGACCGATATGGCTTTTTCAAGGCCGATACCGATTATTAGTAATCAAGGAGACCGATAACCGATATTTGGAACCGATATACATTTGCAGTAAAAAAAAAAATCTTGGTGTCAAAATGTCGAATAACACAAACTCCAACACAACTTATTTGAAATGCATTTAAGCATATATTATGTTTAATTAACTTTTAAACATCTTACAACTGGTTTCCTCTCTGTGCCCTTTTCTTTAGTGCAGTCATCTGCAATGAGTTAGAGAGAGAGACAAGAAGTGGGGCTAAAGGCTGACATGCTTAACTAACAATAATGCTTAATTTATTAGATCTGTCTATCTAGCATAACATCCCAATAAGCTGCTAGCAACTGCAAAACACTAGTGCTAGTTAATGTTTTGCCAACTATTAAAAGTGAGGCTATTACAGTAGACCTAACGTTAGTCTAGTAGCCTCACTTCTAATATTTTGCTAAACATTTGCTAGATACATGTTGGCTAGCTAATGAGCTTCGCATATCAACCTGAAAAACTGCAACCCCCCCACCACAGTAGGCTTGTTTGAGACACATTGCGGCTCGCCTCGAAAGTAGACGAGAGTAGCCGATCGCAGCCGGGGGAGGTGTCAACCGGTTAATCATCTGGTCATTCAATTCAAATGTTATCTTTGTACGAGAGCTAGAAGAATATGTTTTCCTCCTCTCTTTATGACACAGAATGTCTGGTGTGTAAAGGCATCCTGATACTGTAGATTAGCACTGAGGTGCTGATTGGCTCAAAACTCTTCTTCATCAGAGCGCCATAACTCAATTATCTGTAGATTAGCACTGAGGTGCTGATTGGCTCATTACATTACATTACATTGCATTTAGCTGACGCTTTTATCCAAAGCGACTTACAATAAGTACATTCGACCAGGAAGACACAACCTTGAAGAAAACAGAATCATATAAGTATATCAGGTTTCATAGAGCCAAACATTTCAAGTGCTACTCAACTGGCTTTAGGTAATCCAGTCCTTTATTAGTATAAAAGTGCTTCGTTAATCGTTCTAACGCTCGAAGTGGAGTCGAAAGAGATGAGTTTTCAGTTTGCGCCGGAAGATGTGCAAGCTATCTGCCGTCCTGATGTCAATGGGGAGCTCATTCCACCATCTTGGAGCCAGGACAGCAAACTCACGTGTTTTCGCCGATGGGAACTTGGGTCCCCCTCGCAGCGAGGGCGCAACGAGTCGTTTGGCTGATGCAGAGCGTAGTGCACGCGCTGGGGTGTACGGTTTAACCATGTCCTGGATGTAGGAAGGGCCAGATCCATTCGCAGCACGGTAAGCAAGTACCAGTGTCTTGAAGTGGATTCTAGCAGTTACCGGAAGCCAGTGAAGGGAGCGGAGGAGCGGAGTGGTGTGGGAGAATTTAGGAAGATTGAAAACCAGACGAGCCGCTGCATTCTGGATGAGCTGCAGAGGTCGGATGGCACATGCAGGTAGACCAGCCAGGAGGGAGTTGCAGTAGTCTAGGCGTGAGATGACGAGAGCCTGGACCAGAACCTGAGTCGCTTTCTGAGTCAGCTGGGGACGTATCTTCCTGATGTTGTAAAGCGTGTATCTGCAGCAACGGGTTGTAGCAGCGATGTTTGCAGTGAAGGACAGGTTGTTATCTAGGGTCACACCCAGATTCCTTGCAGTCTGAGTCGGGGAAACAACTGAGGTGCCGATGTTGATTGTCAGGTCAAGAGTTGGACAATCTTTTCCCGGGAGGAAGAGCAGCTCAGTCTTGTCAAGGTTGAGCTTGAGGTGGTGAGCAGACATCCACTGAGAGATGTCAGCTAGACAAGCAGAGATGCGTGCGACGACCTGGGTCTCTGAGCGGGGAAAGGACAGAATTAATTGGGTGTCGTCAGCGTAGCAGTGGTAAGAAAAACCATGCGGGCTAATGACTGATCCGAGCGAGTTTGTGTACAAGGAGAAGAGGAGGGGACCAAGAACAGAGCCCTGAGGGACCCCCGTAGTTAATTGACAAGGGTCGGACTCAGACCCTCTCCAAGTCACCCTGTAGGTACGGTCTTTCAGGTATGAGGTGAGGAGGGAAAGTGCAGAGCCTGAAACTCCATGTTTTTGGAGAGTGCGAAGGAGGATCTGATGATTCACCGTGTCGAATGCAGCAGACAGGTCCAACAGGATGATGACAGAGGAGAGGGATGCAGTTTTGGCAGTGTGCAGTTCCTCCGTGACAGCAATGAGAGCAGTTTCTGTGGAGTGACCTGCCTTGAAACCAGACTGGTGCGGATCCAGAAGGTTGTTCTGATGGAGATAGCAGGAGAGTTGTTTAAAGACAGCGCGTTCAAGTGTTTTAGACAGGAACGGGAGGAGAGAGACAGGCCTGTAGTTTATAACATCAGACGGGTTGAGAGTGGGTTTCTTTAGGAGAGGGTTTACTCTTGCCTCCTTGAGACTGTTTGGAAAGTGACCAGAAGTTAGAGAAGTGTTGATGAAATGGGTGAGAAACGGTAGAATATCAGGAGCGATAGTCTGAAGGAGGTTTGAAGGGATAGGGTCCAGAGGACAGGTGGTAGGGCGGGCAGAAGTAATGAGGGTAAGAACCTCACTTGGAGAGAGAGGGGAAAAGGAGGTTAGTGTGTTGGTGGAAGGAAGGTCTGGTGACCCAGCGGTGAGTAAAGGTGAGTCAGAAAAAGAAGAGCGAATATCATTAACCTTTTTTTCAAAGTGGGTAACAAAGTCGCTTGACAGAAGTGAGGAGGGGGGAGTAGCTTTTGGAGGGTCCAAGAGGGTGGAGAAGATGGAAAATAGTTTTTTAGGATTGGAATAGGAAGATTGGATCTTATCTTGAAAGAAAGTGCTTTTTGCCTGAGAGATTGAAGCAGAGAAAGAGGAGATGAGAGCTTGATAGGTTAGGAGGTCGTCACGGTGTTTGGATTTCCACCATTTCCGCTCTGCTGCCCTAAGGACGGTTCTATTAGCACGCAGTGCATCATTTAGCCAGGGAGCCGGAGGGGACTGACGAGCCTGCCGAGATGTCAGAGGACAGAGCGAGTCCAGAGTGGATGAGAGAGTAGAGAGGAGAGTTTCTGCAGCAGAGTTTGGAGGCAGTAGTTGGAACGAATCAGAGGAAGGGAGGGCTGAGAGCACCGACGAGGCAAAGGGAGAGGGAGAGAGGGAGCGAAGGTTACGGTGGACAAGTGTAGGATGGGAAGAGATTAGTTTGTTATGTTTGGAAAGGGATAGAGAGAATGAAATGAAGAAGTGATCGGATGTGTGGAGCAGGTTTACAGAGAGGTTAGAAGTAGCGCAGTTCCTTGAGAATATGAGATCAAGGACATTGCCAGCTTTATGAGTCGGTGGGGACGGAGAGAGTGAGAAAGCAAAGGCGGTTAACAGAGATGTTAGTTCGTCTATCTTCCCCATCTGGAGGTTGAAGTCTCCGAGAAGTACAGCGGGAGGGCCAGTTTCAGGGATGTGTGAGAGGAGATGATCTAATTCCTCCAAGAAGTCCCCCAAGGCGCCTGGTGGACGGTAGAGAACAACAATGGTTAACTGTATAGGATGGGTTACTGTGACGGCATGGAACTCAAAGGTGGAAGGAGTGAAGTTAGGTAGCTTGAAGAGGGAAGAGCTCCATTTGGGAGAGAGCAGGAGACCAGTGCCACCTCCTCTGCCAGTGGGTCTGGGTGTATGGGAGAAGGAATATGCAGTGGAGAGAGCTGCTGGGGTGGATGTGTTGGATGGAGTAATCCAGGTCTCAGTGAGAGCAAGGAAATCCAGAGACTGCAGGGAGGCGTAGCCAGAGATGAAGTCAGCCTTAGGAACAGCTGACTGGCAGTTCCACAGGCCACCTGAAACTAGATGTTGGATCTCAGTGGAGCATGTGGGATAGACGAGAGCAGGCCGGTTATATCGATTACGAGATACACGGGGCCAGTGATAATTGCGAGAAGACACATGAACAGGAATGGAGAAAATACACATGATTATAGCATGAGGGGCTAAACAACAAAATTAAAAAGTAAAAACACCAACGATACTTAGCTCAATCAAAGTAGGATTTGCCTCCTCTTTGCCTCCCTCGTGACTCCTGTAGGACTCTAATGTCTTTGTCAGTCTTACTCCTGTAGGACTCTAATGTCTTTGTCAGTCTTAGCCTGTCTGCCGCTGAAGCTGACGCTCCAGGAAAGAGCTACCCGAAATGGACGCCTGATTGCTCAGTTCTCACAGCTGAAGTTAATTAGTTAACTATCTACAGCTGATGGGCGACAATAGACTGGCCCTGCCTATGTTAATAATGCAGGCTTGAGTGCTGAGACCTGTAAAGCAGGTTTCGCCTGAGCAGATCTGAGATTTAAAATCTCTCAAAAGCGATTTAGCCGTTTAAGCTACAGTAACAATTATACAGAGTCGAATAAATGAAACCGAGAAGTCTAATTAAACAACAATATAACTTACAGTGGTTGCTGCGTCAATAGGTAATGTCGTCACCGGGTCCAGATGGCTCAAAACTCTTCTTCATCAGAGCGCCATATCTCAATCCCCCCCAATTGCTCTGCTTTTGTGGCTCAATTCAGTGAGCACTTTATGATCTCCCAGTGAAACAGAGGCTCATCTGCCTGCATTCCTTCTGCTATCTGCTTGAGAGCACCTGCCTATTCCAAGTGGCACATCCAGATGCCCCCCCCGTGATGGGAGAGGTTATGAAAACATCTGCTCCTCCAAGAAACATGGAGACCTTGTATGAAGCCTCTGAAGCCATCGCTCGTCCTGCGAGCGAAAATGAAGAAGCATCCCATCTCATCAGAAAGTTGAAGATTAGAATCCTCTCATCTCGAACGACCTCCTTGCCCGTGGATAAGTTGCTCTCTGCAGCCGCAGAGTGTGATCCTCTCTCTCTGACCCTTGGCCTTCAGAGCTCTCCTAGTTATTGGGTTAACACTTGATAGGGATGTTTTCCTGAGTGCAGACAACTCAAGGTAATGGATTAGCACATTATCATTCAATTACAAAAATAGGATAGGCCCCCTCAGAATGATTTGGGAGCCTTCCTGACACATTATAAATGTAAGGTTTGTGTTAGTCATTTAACATGCAAGAATCATATAATCATCAGTCCAAAGCAGATAAATGTTATTTTAAGTTAAATGTGAGCTAGTCCCTGTGGAATAACCCTTTCTCAATGATTATAAATGTTATATTAATTCACCATTTACCGTTTGATCAAGGATTAGTTTATCAGAAGTACATTTCCTCTTCCATAAAACATAGGTTTGAGAAATGAATGTTCCAATATGAAATCAATTGCTCAATATAATTTGACTCTTCCCTCCCTTTTCTTGCATATTGTCACATATGAAATAATAACTTAGGAGTCTATTTAAGCATGGTATTGTCTATATAAGCTATTAATCGAGAAAATGAAACAAATAATACAACATTGACCTATTTGAGCAGACAGATGACCCGCAGTTATGCCTCTGAGGTTCCCGGGTGTAAAACAGAGGCTTTTTTTTAATTTATTTTCCTTTTGCGGAAATTTAGATTAATTTTACCTTGGCTGTGGACTGATTAATTATTAGTTGTTAAAAAACATGCACAAGACGGCAGGTATACAAACAAACACGAAACAATTATACAAACAAACATGAACCCGCAACAAATATCAGGTGACAGCTAAACTCATCCAGTTTAATTTTAATCCGAATTAGGGAAACTTCAGCGGGGGTAGGGAAATATCAGTACTTATTTTTATTTATTTTTTTAAACAACATCCAATTCAATAATCCGTAAGTTTATTAAACACAGTGTGAATGTAATATTCTGCCACCACCCTTCCCATTTAATAGCTCAATTTAGTTCTTGAGCTTATGGTGTGATTAACAGAAAATACAAGTCTGTGTTGTTAAACATTCCTCGTGTGCCGTTCACCACAGGGGGGAGGGGAATTCTGTTGATGAGCAATAAACTACCTTATTCTCAATCAAAACCACTATGCAAATGTAGTGGTAAAACTGCTCAACCGACCGAGAGCAGAGATACTAATTAATTTAATTAATTCTAAGAACGGAATCTGCTGAAGAGTAATAACCACATTATTCTCAATCAACAACCACTATGCTAATTTAGTGGTGCTCTGCCCTCCCCGATCCGGAGAGCAGAGACTTTTAATGAATTCAGTACCCTTTATTTTAACAACAGCCAAATTCAACAACCCCTCAGTTTATGAAACACAGCGTGACGTAATATTTCGTATCACGTTTCCCGTTAATAATAGTTCTGTTTAGTTCCAAAACTCATAATGGTGCGATTTAAGAAGATACGACACTGTGCTTTGTTTATCCTCGTGTGCTGCTCTCCACAGGGGGGGGGGGGGGGGGGGGAATTACCCACACCCTGCACCAGCAACAGGAAGATTTCGAGGCGAGTTGATTTAACTAGTTAAACCGTTGAAATCTCCAGAATTCGGCGATTCGTTTCAGTACAAATCTTTACATTGCTTTTAAACCGAAGTTCCACATTACTGATGCCCTCTTTAAGGTCTCTCCGAATATTTGCCGTGCACACACACACAGAGGAAACCAAAAATATTGCATCTATCTGTTCCACAGGTAATTTTATACCGTCAATCACAGAGTCTGGCGAGGCAATGTCAAAATATAGATTTGAAATTACACTCACCAGCTCGACGATTTGTTGGTAACCGTTCGTGACGCCAATTGTGAAGTTAAAACTTCTTTGCAGCAATGTTGAGCCAATCATGAAATGAGTGAAACTGGATTCGCCTGTCAATACACTGATATTTATTGAGAGCCTGAGCGGCCGGAGAGTTCACAGCATATCACAGTTCCCTGCAAGATACCAGCAAACTCTGAAGCCTAAAAGCGCCAAGAACCCATCTATACAGACAAGAAGAGGAGGGCCCTAAAACACGCGGGTTTTCCTTTAATGCATGCCAGATGTCGAGACAAAGACTCGTTGCATTGTAAACCCACATGAGCCAAGCTTCTCCCCCACAAGACATCAGATGACCTCTTGACCTGTGTCTTCCTGAGAAGCTATGGATCACATTACAGGCAGGAATACACTTCAACCATATTAAACAGATTCCCGAGGACAGTTCACTAAACTCTATATACTTTAACAAGACCAAAATATTCCTTTACATTCAGCTAGCTAACGTTAGCTTAAACAAACGTAACATGCAACGTTAGCCTAATCTAAAATGCTTGACTACGGCGTACCTTTCATGTGGCTCGTCAGCGCAGACTCTCGCATCGTTATTTTTGCAAACTTTGCAGGAGGCTACTCGTGGGCTTGACCCTCGTCTTAGCCATGGCTTGTATTTGTCTTCTGCTAGCCAACGCTCGTTGAAACTGCAACCTCCTGGCACACAGTCATCTATCACTCTCATCAGAATGCTCAAGTCACACGTAACACAAACACTTGCAGGTCGCGCGCATAGCGCGGGAAGGCCGCAGCGGAGATGTTTTATGTAGAAGCGAAGCAATTATTTTCTTTTAATCTAAAAAGCGAACTATTCAGTCAGACAGCAATTTATTGTAAAAGTAAAGCATTTACATTTTCAAGCACTTTATCTCAATTTCAAGCACCATTTCCAAAATTCAAGCACTTTCCCAACCTTGAAAACACCACGTCAAATTTCAAGCATTTTCAAGGATTTCAAGCACCCGTACGAACCCTGCAAATCTACCGAAAATAGCCATGTGTGACAAAAGATTCAGTTGTTTACAAAGCACATAATTCATATTCATAATAAATGTTTTGAAAATAAAAAAAGACCTGGGATTGAAGAAAAAAGACCCGTGGCTAGGCAGGCAGGCCCTAAACACGAAATGCAAGTAGACTAGAGATACACTTACTTTAATGTGATGCAACAAGTCCTCGGCTCTTCCGTGTCCCAAAAATTGCGACCCAAGATACCTGGCCCAGACACAGCCATCATCCCAATAACGAATGTGGACGTCCATCTGTTTTTTCTTGGTGGCTTGATTAAGGCTCTCGTCAAACATCAGCACAAACGGCCCAGCCTTGTTGATGCTATTAACGAGCTGTTCTTTAAAGTAAGGGGCCAAGCCGAATCGGACTATGTACCCTGTTTTGTCTTTTCCACAGGCAAACTTCTTGGCTATTTCCGAATCTGGGAACATAGCTTGGAAAAGATCGGAAATCCCTTCATTGGAATTGATGGATTGGTGTTTCATTACGGTGTTGAGGCACCACAGAACCTCTGCCCGCAGCGTTGGAGTGGCGGCCAGCAGCACTCGGAGGTCAGCAGTAACTTTAGATGAAGTGGTGGAGGCTGTAGTAGCTTCAGCGATGGTGGGTGGGGGCGGTGATGTTGCCCAGAAATGCGCGATTGAGACCTGCTGTTTGCGTCCCACAGCGGCTAGCACTTAGCATGTGGGACCGGACAGCTTTGATCCCCATCGAGGCAACACTAATCGCCTTCCGACACATGCAGCAGTAGGCCTCACGGTTATTCCCAGAAACGGGCCTCAGCCATGGTTCGAACTCCATATCCTCCAACCATTTGGATGCAAACTTGCATTTCCCCATGTTGTAACCGGCGTAAACAGACCTTCGCGCGCTATCAAGCAGCAGTCATCAGTGAGCGTGCAATGTCCTGTTCAGATGACGTCAAATCCAATGGGATAAAAAAAACAAAAAACGACACAGAATCACACTACACACCTACGCAATGATTAAATTATAGAATTTAGAATATAATTTATATACTTATTGCAAACATGCTACAAAATGTAATACCTTGGAAAATGCCGTTTAATACTTTTTAAAAGCCTTATTTTTCGCTAAATTGATTTATCAACTTTTAATACTTTTTAAGACCCCGCGGACACCCTGTTTCTGCGGCAAGCTCAAAGGGAAGGTTGTTATGGTGAGAAACCTAATTGATGCGATGCACTTTTATAATTAAATAAATATTTTCATTTTTAAATTCATGGTGTGTTGCATTCTTTGTTTATAACTGTAGATATTATGGAAAATCATGACATTTTTTGAGCTTGGGTCCCTTAGGACCACAACATTTCTGTTTTGGGTCTCATGCTGAAAAAGTTTGGGAACCCCTGGCCTATCAGATAGCGCTGTGGGCGGGACATTGCTCGTGTACACAGAGTGGTGACTGCAGCCAGAGAAACGGCCGCATCAGAGCCAAAGTTTTATCGGCTATTTGATAATTAAAAAAAGGCCGATACCGATAATCGGTCAAATGCGGAATATCGGCCAAGCCGATTATCGGTCGACCCCTAGAATATATCAGCAGTAAACCTAGGGGAAACACTGACATTCAATATTATGTTAGAGACAAGTTAGTTATTACTCACATATCAAAGTCTTTTCATCTGCAAGATGGAAGAATAGCTGGGTGCTGCCTGGAGAGACTGATGAGGAGTCACCAGCTGGCTTTAGCAGCTTTCCACACAAAGCCATCACATGTTCTGTTCCATAGTCTTCACTGTCCACTGGTGCTCTGTCAAAAGAGTGAATATCACAGCTGTCATGGTAACCCTTTGTTACACAACATACAACCAACATGCTCAAAAGTGACCCAAATTAGTTTAATTTGTAAATATCTTTGCAATAAATTACCTCCAGGAATTCCTCAATTAACCTGTTTTTGATCAACACCAATTCTAATTTTCATTTGAACTTTCTTTAATAAAAATCATGTTTGTATCTACACTTCTAAGGCACAACATGGGTAAAAAATGTTATTCCTAGTGTTTCTTTAAATACATTGTTTTTGATTACCACAAATCATTATTTTAATTCTCCAGTTCTAATTGATTAACTAAAATAGTTTATGCCAAGTGTGATACAAATGCAAAAAAATAAAGATAATTTAATGATAATTTTGTTAAAAATAATAATTTTAGCAGAGATGTGGACCAAGCATGTATGATGTAGTAATACAACAACTATTTTAGTTCACACAGTGTGACATTAGCTAGTCATGTTAGCTTGTAATATATAGAGCAGAGCTAACTAGCAAGTTAGCCAAACGTTAGTGGGTAGCAGTTTATGCTATGATAGCTGTTGGCTACTGAACATTAACAAACTGGATTCCGCAGTAAAAAAGCTGTGAAACTTTATAATAAGATTGGCGACACTACTGTGACACCCTGCTGCACGTTTATGTGTAATCGTCCCGCGTTGGAGACGAGAGGATGACGGCAGCACTGCAATAAGCTGTAAGCTAACGTTAGCAGCCACCTTGTTAACCTGTATAGCCCGATTGTCCCGCCGGTGGGACATCTTGCAAGAAACAGCATCTCAGGACTTCTTAAAATGTACTAACAACCTATTAATGATGCTTACCACTTAACGGGAAGAAACTCAGCTAACTGACGATATTAACATTTTTTAACTAAACGAAACACAAGTCTAACAGCTAACGGGGCTAACGCTACTTTAGCACATAACTGGCAAAAGCGATCTTTTTTACTTCATGCTATCTGCACAAACGTATCATATGAAAGCTGAGATTCCACAGATTCCCTTAAAATATATGTCTCCTCCCTCAAAACTCACTGAACTAGAAGAAGAAACGTAACCTTAAATACACAATTAAACATTCACAAACTAAGGATTATCTAAATACATGTTTAACTCCATTACAGTTGCAGAACTCACCAGATCTCAAGTCTTCTGCTCTCTGTTGACGTCCCGATGCTCATATTTAACGTGTAGATGTAAAACTATCCCGATATTAGTCCATAAACTCGTGAGCAGACATACAGACAGCTCTGTAGCTCCGCAGGAGAGCCGCTCAAACTGACCTGGAAGTTTCAAATTGGATTGAAGGCGCGGACAGTGCTCATTGGCAGGTTTTTTCGATGACGTTTATATCAACCAATCAGGAGTGTTGTGGACTCATTCCAATCCTGCTTGTCTTGTCTGCCGTTCTATGGCTGGATTCCATTTCAAGTGCCGTAGCTTTTTACATACATTTTACGTTTTTTTTATGACGCTTTTTTTTACAGTTAACTATTTTAGTATACTATGAAAACTACTTTATACAAAATCATTTTGGGGTATTTCTGCAATATATTACATTTTTTGTGAAGATGTATACATTTATTTAACATTTGAGATGTTTTATAATAAGATTTATTTTTATTCTACAACAGTACAGAATACAGTTATTTTTATTTTTTTTACATTTTGTTACATTACATTTAAGGTTTTACTGCAACAAAAAAAAGAAAGTTGCCTTCATTTTACATGCAGTAAAATTATGTGTATTTTATGTGTTTTTACATAGAATTCAATGTAATTTAACATTCAAGACAATTAAACAATGGAATTATCCTGTAAAAAACGATAATTTCTCATCAAACCAATTTACAGAATAAAACCTTTATTTATTTTAAATAAAAGTAATTTACTGTATTTTTATGGTATTTACACGTAATATAGAAAAACAAGAAAGGTCTGTAAAATAATACAGTATATTTCTGTGAAAAAACTTCTTTTTTTTTACAGTGTACCCTACCTTTAAGTACACGATATGAGTATTTGTCCCACCTCTGCTGCCAGGTAAGGACACAAATAGAAACAAACTGACAATGTGAACTTGAGAAACTACATTTTATTATGTTTACAAAATATCAGGAGAGGTTCAAATAGTATTTTTGACATCAGGAAGTCTGACTTTAACACATGTAGGTAAACTGTGCGTTCATGGCCTCGTCCATTAGCCACGGCTTTTATAATAGTCCAAGTGCGCAAGTATCCAACCAGAAGGCCCGAGGATGGTCACAGTCATCACCGTCAGCACGAACATAGATTCCTGCGAGGAAAAATAAATTTCACTTGCACAATTTTGTTTTTAAAACTTCGTCAGCTACACTTGAAAGGGAGGACAGTTAGCATGTAGGCCACTGAAAAACGTATCAGGGCTAATTTTGCAAACTTACCGCAGCGCCGATCTTATCTTTCGGTGGTTTGGACTTGATATACGTTGCTCGTTGTCTAATCATCACACCTGTTCGGTTAGCAAGAGTCCACCGAGCCCTCAGCAGTCCGGCAAAAAGTCCACTCATGTTTGGCTTTAAAAGACACAGGCCTGTTTTTGCTTCTGACACCAGATAAACCACCATTGGAGGTTTTTAGTGGAATCCTCCCTCCACGCGCACCTGAAGTAACAATGACACACCTGTTAAACATCTGATTTTAATTAGGTTGCCTTCAGGCTCAATAAGAACAAAAATGAATGATGAGTTCAGGGTCCAGGCAGTTCTGTGTGACAGAAATGGTTATTGTTCTTACAACATTTTCTAAACAACATTAGCCTATTCAGAGAAAACATTTTAAAATTATTTTTGTTTAGCCTTTTACACTCGTGCCAAGCTACCTTTCCACCTTTATTTTTTAAACAAATACGTCTGACACTCCCTCTACACTTTTAACTTTCTTTTTTTACTTATTCTTAATGCAACATGTGCCTTAAATATATTTATATTCAGTGTACAGGCTGGAGTCTGAGTAGCCAAATTCCCAAATTAAACACATGGTCATCACCATAACAGTGATGGTATATGAAAATGGCTACTACTGTACTTGGTGGCCAATTGTTACACTTACTTCTACTTATTTAAAGGGAATATAATAACAACAATAGAAATGCTAAATAGGCCAAGAAAACTAAGATGACATTATATTTGATTACTTTGACTTCCCTTGCATCTCTCGATGTAATGTGCTGCAGTTTTTGTAGAAATTGAAAACAAAAATATCAGAAACCAAGAAAGTAATGTCTGAGGTGAACGCTGACGTCATTAATGGATTACTTCTCTTGATTATTCTTTCCCTTTCCCAACCCGCTCGGTGTGCTGTTGAAAGTGGGTCGGCTCAGCATTAGCTTGTGTGAAGGTTAAACCTAAATGCTGCGTTGATGACTGTCCTAATGTCTGTTTTTTTGCCTGTGGTAGGCTACATTGTGTCATTAGTAGAAGGGAAGGGAAGCACGTTCGTTATCATCACGGTGTTTAATTACACAGGTTTTTCTTTTAAAGTAAAAGTTATTTAGTATAATGGTACTTGATAAGGTAGGCTACAGCTGTAAAAAAGAAAAAAGAAAGAAACTGTCAAAGAAAAGTAAAATAGCCAGGACTCTGGAAAAAAGTTAATTAAAGGAGATGTTAAAAGGAAATTACATAAAACATAAAAACTGAATATTTGCAAAACCATGTGAAGCTTCTTGTGGTTTACTTAGCCTAACAATTGAATACTTTTACTATTCTATAGCTATCCACTTGAATGTATGCCATATACTGTAAGCTACTATGCCGCGGAAAAAACAATCTTGTTTCCCTTTTACTTGCATGTTAGTATCTCCAAAAAGCTAAGAATAAATCTACAAATTGTAGCTTCTCAAATCCAACATTTTCAGTTTTGTTCTGTCCATATCGACGTTAGATTACATCTCTTTGGGTTTCGACAGTAGAACAAGGTCAAAGTAAAACAACTTGGGCTATGGAAAACTGTGAAAGACATTGCTGGTTGTTTTACAAATTGTATGTCCATTTAATGGCTAAACTTTAATCAAGAAAATGGCTGACCACCTAAATAAATTACTAATGAGATCCGACTTTATCAGGGGGAAAAAAGGAAACGTGTCTGCTGGCTGAAGGCTTGAGCTGTACTTGTGTCTGTGATCTCATTACTTGGACCAATTTGGTCTCTCTCCTTCCCCTCCTCAGCCACCTCCCCCTTGATATTGTCCTCCTGTCCTTAAATAACCACATGGAAGCTGTCCATCTTTGCAACATGGCCCAGCATGCACTTCCTCTGAGGTGAATCAGGAAGTCTGAATGCTCGTACATCTTTACAGCTGGTTTGGTGAGGGTCGGATGCTGATTTTAGAGGGGAGAAGAAGCAAAAGAGAAGGAAAGGGAGGACTGAGGGGAAGAGTAAGGGCTGGCCCATGGCCTTGGTGAGGCTCCAGGTTCGAGCAAGGAATAAAGCAGGTATCAGTTCAGAGAGAAAAGGAGAAAACAAGTGGCTCAAACCATCAGCTTATCTCAGGTTAGCTACTGTGTCAAATGGCATGAGGCCAGCAAAAAGTAAAGAAAGGATGTGAAAAGTGAGAGGCAGATGAGGAGTTTAACAGAAGAAGAGAGCTTCCTTTAATCTCTCTGTTCTCTATACCATTATTTATCTTTCATTTTTATAAACAATCAGTTGAACTTAAGTGTTTAAGGCCCAGTCTAACTTGATTCCAGACACCTTCCATGTCATGAAATGCAGCGTGTCAATTTCCTAACACTCAGCATGACCACACACACACACACACACACACACACACACACACACACACACACACACACACACACACACACACACACACACACACACACACACACACACACACACACACACACACACACACACACACACACACACACACACACACACACACACACACACACACACACACACACACACACACACACACACACACACACACACACACACACACACACACACACACACACACACACACACACACACACACACACACACACACACACACAAAATTCCTCAGTGAGATGTTATTAGATTTGTCGGAGGAGAAATTAAGTGCCACAGAATGTTAAAATGGTGGTGCGAGTCTACAGGGCGGTGTGGTTATAACAAAATGGTGCAGTGAAACTATTTGTTCGCCAAATTAGCTTCATGATGGCTCTACAGACAACTCTGCGGTATAATCTGAAATATTTTAATCGGTTATTGGGTTCCCATGAAGCCTTTTACAAACTTTGATGTCCCCTTCAGGATTACTTTGGTGACACATTATTATCAAACAATTCAGAGAAAAGCTGGCACCTTAGGACTTTGCAGTTGTTCAACAGCCTTTTGATCCTCTGGACAATGTGATTCTCCCATAGACTGTATACATAAAGTTTCTCCAGGATCATGTGAACTGATATGGCATCCAAGATGATTCATCCGATGCATTCTGGCTGCCTAAGAGAGAACCATCAGGCAATTGTGTGTAGGTTGCATTCACATAATTAGGGGTAACTTGGATTAAACTAAACAGGAAATGTTTGATTTCATAATAACAGCTCTTACTCTAGCATTTAATTTAGAGCATCTCTTTGAATTTTGAGGTAATTCAGAAAAACAGTTCACATTGTAATGAGAAACACTAAACGGGACCAAAACAGAAAAGTTGCGTGCCATAAAACCAAAACAATACGGTGAAAGACGGCAGAACAATTCAAAGCGCTGAAGGGAACTGGGTCAAGTGATAATCCTCTCAGGTTCATCATTACAAATAGGTGTTACCATCCACCTCTTTTTGCAAATGCTAAACATCTTGGGGGTAATCCTGTTGTTTTTTTCCCCTCAAAATTCAGTAATGAAAACCTAGTTATCCTTTTTTCCCTGAGTTGCTGATACAAAACTTGAAGTATAAAAGTTGATTAATGCAAACATATTGGACAACTATCAATCAGCGTATGATTGTCGGATCATACCAAGACCAGCAAATGTAATAATCTCCAGTGTAATATCAATATATCATGTATCAACAGAATACAATAAAGTCTGGATGTCTTTTCCATATTTGAGTTGCGAGACTGTAAACTGTTCTCATCCATAAACACACAAGTCATCTGTATTAGCGGAATATGTTTAATTATAATCTATCATTAAATATTACATACAAATTATACAGTGCATTGTCACAATACATTTCATGTCAGTTCTGTACAGCAGTAAGTAACCTATGTTGTTGAGGTCCACTCTTAGAGCCAGAAAATTAACAAAAAATCAACATGTCCGTGAGAGAATAAAGGAGTTTGTGGACAGGGAATCACCGACCCCCCTCCACACCCTCCTCTTCCAGACGGTATCATTTTCTCATCTTCACAAATGATTTCACGCATCAGTGGAGGAAGGAAGGTCACAGTTATCTCAGCTTAAGCAAACAGTTTGTGTCTTTCACCAAAATGGCCTCTGCTTATCACCCAAGATGACTTGCAGATCCCAATCCGAACAGTTAGGAGGTGCAATGAGTAACTGTGAGGCCATGATTGTTCATGGTGTAATGACACAACTGAAAGCCCAGTTCCTTAATCGTTTAGACTTCACCAAAATGAACACTTCTCTTATTTGTTAAAAATATCTTCACCCCTGCTTTTGCCAGCCCCAGGCTTTTAACTGTGTGGGAGGGAATATGCAGGTGAATATTAAAAAAGGCGGAGATATGAAGACAAAACAAACATGGAATGCAACACCTCCCATCCAAAAAGAAAGCATGATAGGCTGTTGACTGGCGTGCACGTGTGTGGGCAAACTTTACGTGCACTTACTCAGGAGTCCAAAAGAAAAGTCTGACACTGCACTGAAAATAGGAATTTTCTTGCAGAAATGTACAGAATCTTTATCATTTAGGCGTTACCCTTCATTGACATCCACGCAAGGCACAAGGCAAACAGGACAGATATGTTGTGAAATTCTTCCTCTTTTGGCCTCCTCTCTCCACCCACTCACTCATCAGAGGAGGGCAGGTCGATAATCATTTTCATTTTCATGATCTTATTTTTCTCTGACAGTTTTTTCGCTCCTTCCCTCGCTCCTGCTTCCTGCTGTTCCTCCTCCTTCCTCTTCACTTTTACCACCAGGTGAAGAAGGGTCTTCTGCTCTGGAAACTCTGTGTGTACGACTCGCTGTTGGCTCTTTGAGGTGCTCTGGCTGTTTCCACGATTACTGGGGGCATCTGGACCAACTGCAGGGGGGTTTTACCGTCCTTCAGGGCTTGGCACAGGTTCAGGATCTTGGGATAAAGAAGGGGAAGGAAAGAGTTTCTTTAACGCCACATTTCAACATAGCTGTGTATGTATTCGGGTCTTTAAATTCCTATGGGGACATCCGTGATCTTTGAAGTGTTTGGGAACTTGTCAAAAATTGCTTTCTTTTTATTTCTAATGACTATGATGGCGGTCAAATTTGATGTTGTTGCTTAACTGTAAAGAAACTAGTTAAGCTAGTTTTACCTCATGATGAATTTAGACTAAAATGGCCCACGCCACATAAAGAAAAATGAAAAAAATCAAAATAATGGACAAAAAATAACCAACTTTCTCCCATACCTGCCGCCCCACCCGACCACGCAGTTTTTCACTTTTTCAATCATTTTGCGGAGGGAGCGACACAGAGAGCCTCATCATATAACTTTGCGTGGGGCCACAAGTTGGGGCCTTTTTATCCTTTCCTAATGAAGAGGCATTTTCCTTTTTTGGAAAAAACTCAGGTGTGTACCTCGTTTACTATACGGAATTAAGGAAACAAAACTGTGTGGAAACAAGCCCTAAAACATCAAGGCACATTTATGCCTGGTGAGATTCCTCCAGGGAATACCATTTAGTCACATGTGTGTCAAAGGAGAGAAGAGAACTCACCTGCCCCCTCATTACAGCTACTTGTTTGTGAAACTGTCCTCTGTCGAAACCAGGGTCTTTCTGCAGGACACAGTAGACAATCAACATGTTAGAGATCATGTTTTACAGCCCCAGAACTGTCTCATCCTCTTCTCCATGTTGCATTTTCCCTTGTTATAATTTCCACAATCAATCAACAATCTTACACTGCATTCGCTCTGATTATTCTAACTTCATGCTGTGCAAAAGGCTGATGGGTCCCTTCATACCTTAAAAAGTTCGTACAAATCCTCTTCCAGGTCTTTGATGAAATTTGGGTCAGAGAGCTTGGGCAGGACCAGTTCTCTGATTTCTTGGGAGAAAGGAACTTTGGCTTGGGATAGCCACGCCCAGTAGAAAGGGTCTGGTGAATGGAAATTACACTGGGTCTTAATGATCATGGACGAGCTGGAGAGTTAATAATACAGAGGCTTGACTGCAATCAAAATATGATGAAAAAAGGAGCACTAAGTAAGTATTAATATTGCCAAACAAATATAATGCTTTCACTGGACACAGGTTGTTCAAATGCATCACCCTGCCGTGGGTGAGCAGTGATTGGTTAAAAACAATCACTACTAGGTGCTTACAGGCTCTCCAGGAGTCCGGGTGTTTGAGGGGGAAGGCCAGGCCGTTGTCTATAGCTGCCAGCTTGATGATGGGATCCTTTACTACCACCCAGTCTGTGTCCTACAGAGACAAATATAAAAAACAAACACATATTCAGCCATTACGGCCAACAGCATTGTAGAAAATGAACGTCAAGACTATGGCTGTTTCTTTGTGTCCTTACCTTACTCCCAACTGTGTCCATGGGACAGTCATACTTCAGCAACCAGTTATCATTTCCCCTGTCTAGAATGCAAAAAAATGAATAATTCAAATTTAAACAACCCAAATGATCATATACTTTAAAAGCTATGGAAAAGACTGTAATTGACTCTGTATGACAACATCTTAATAACTAACCCATTAAAGTGCACATGTTTACTTTGCTGAGTGCATTGCCTGTTATGGTGAAAGAGCCCTGACAGCGCTGCACAGAGTGACTACATGCCTGTGTTTCTGATGATGTAATCGAGGACTACGAGGCGCTCAAACTGCAGCTGCAGCTGACGGTTGGTGTTTTCAGGCAGAGGCTCCGCTTCAAACCTCCGCAGCCAGAAATCTGCATCCTTGTATCCATCGACGAAGAGCTGGAAGGAGCCGACCTGGTGGGAAAGCAACAGATCAGGGTTTTAATTTCACACATACTGATGTGTGCAGCAACATTCTTTGCATTGGTGTCATGTGTGAATGGGCGCAAGGATATTTAAATAGGAAAGTCGGTTTCTGTCAGTGTAGGACATGCAGAGAAAAGCACGTTAAGAATGACGAAAGGCTGACAAATCTTCTTTAATGTGGAGCAAGCCAACAGATCATAACTCCACTGATGACTTGCTTTAATCTGCAACATATTTACGCTTTTAAAGTAATGTGCGAGTGATTTGACTTATCTTGCAAACTTGTAGTGTATTAAATACATTGGCAAAAAAACAGCACCTAGACCACCATGTTGAAAATAATACGTTTGCTTCCACCAGACGGATACAATAAGGTCCATACTGCGTCTTAAATATTGTTCATCTGCACCATATTGAAGTGATTAAGACCTACGACAATTGTACTCCCTTACGTTTGATGGCAGTTGGCATCGATATGAATTTCTGTGTTAAGTATGATAATACAATTTTATAATAATACAATATTAAAGAGGCACAAAATAATCCTGGATGTAGAGCATACAAGAATGATAAAAAAAACCTTTGCGGTGCCAGAAATTGTTGATGGAAATGTACCAAGAACTGTATGCGAAAGACTTTTTAGACACAGCAAATATTCTTCAAATAAACGTTTTTCTTTTATTGAAAGTCCCAGATCACTGGATGAATTAAAATACAAGATTTTATCATATTACCTTGGGTGGCAGTCCAATTCTGTGGAAACGCTGGCCCACTTTAGGCACCTTCTCCAGGGCTAGCCTCTTTCCTCTAGACTTCACCCTGTCTATGGCACTGTAGTTGAATGTTTCACTAGCCAAGTAAACCACCTAGAGTGCAAAAGAGTGATTAAGAGAGGCAATACTTTTCCAAATGGTTAGTTTTTCTGGTGATGCAGAGGTAGCACTGTGTGTCCGTACCTTGGTCCTGGGAACGATGTTGAGTTCCAGTTTCTGGTCAACAAGGCTGGCCCCGGCCTCCGAGAGGTAACCCTGGTTCAGGACCAAACAGTCACGGCCAAAACAACAGGGACAACACAGTTTCTGGAGCCACTTGGTCCACTTTGGATTCAGCTGGCCATAGGGCTCTTCATTTTTAGGTTTGAACACGCCAATGATTTTCTGTGGAGGGAGGCAGAGTGGGGACAATGAGACAGAAAACCAGGAAAGGGAGAGACGACAGAGGATCGGTATCCAAAAGGATTTAAGAAAAGGAACGTTTAGGGATGGGTTTGGTCGAAGAATAAACAACTACATATTTAAATTCCTTGTCATCACTCTCCTCTGCAAACTTGAAAACACATCTGAAGCATACAAAGCTCGAAGAGGGACAGTGAATAGGCTGATTATCAGGAAGTGGTTTCAAATTTCACTTCTTAGAAAGTGAAACGTTGTCCATATAAACATTTACTGTAGCTGAAACAAATAGAAGTTGTCCAAAACCAAAAGAGAAGCTAGAAACCACACACACACACACAAAACGTGTTCATTGACAAGAATTATATCCTCACAGAGAGGAAGCACATGACTACTTAGCACACTGGTGACTAAAGAAAGAAACGCAAAGAGGTGGGAGGGTCATTGGACAAAAAGCTCCAACACGCAGCTTAGAATACGTTTAATACTTAGAGAGAAAGGATACAAAGAAAGGCTCTATAGTTGTCCATGATGTTTTTGGAAATGTATAGCAGCTTGTGAAACTAAAACAAACCAGACATTTGGGATCAGCATCTTATTTTTGATTAGATACTCAAGCCCTTTTAGTGTGCGAAAAAGTACACGTCCCACCGTCCGGGACGTGTTTTTTACAATATCGGACAAGTAGATCTGTCAATTGACTTGTCCGGCGGACAAGTGACGTTTATTGACAAATTATTGATACATTCAGTTTACAAAAGGCAGAACTCATTTGCAAATTGTACGTGTCCGCCGTTGTTCGTTTAGAAATGTTAGTTTCGGTTCTGCTTGTCGATTCCTAAGGAAATGCATCTCGCCGCTTTCTGTACAGTTTAGACGGGGGCGGGGCGGGAAGTGTAGCACAGTGGCAGGGTTGGGAAGCAAAACTTGGTTCTGAGTAGGAACAAATAACAATTGTCCGGTACCGGGATTAATAAGAGTTGTGAGGACAGGAGGCGAGGCCGAGCCCCGCGGACTGCAGCTCTCTCATATGATCGCTGCACGGTGCAGCTCAGCGTCTCTCTCTCTTTCTACACACAGCGGATCCGCTGCCCGCTTAACAGCCTCATCTTTGTCAAACTTTCTTATGTTCTTTCTCTAACACGTAATGAAGGTTATTAAGCGTTTTAGCTCCTGTGTTGTTAATATTGACCGCCATTTCCTTTATGAAGTGAAGCCTCCCTGTCTGTGTCCTCGCGCTGTCCTCACATCCCCGGACCCCCAGACTCGGAGGAGCACAGGGATGTCAGTATTGTTTATGAAGCAGGGTATAGAAAGTACATTATTGAAATGAAAATACTATTTATTTACTTTTACAAACAGTGAGCAGCTGGGCAGCTGCAGCATGTGTATTGCAGGACATGTGTAAGCGTGCAAGCGTCTTTGAGTTGTAGAAAAGCGCTAGGCCTATAGGCTATACATATAATGTATTATTATTATTAGGTTATGTCCTATGTGTTGGACATGTGTGGTTGGACTCTGTCTCACAGACAGGTTGCAGTGTAACATCAGAGGAGACTGGGCCAATTGTACATTCTCAAACTGCACCACTTAGAACTAACTAAACAATGCATATATTATTTTTATATAATTGTATTCAATAACTGTAAGAAATTAAACAGTATGAAGTGATTTGTAAATAGGAATACAGATTTGACTTAATGTTTTCATAAATATATTTTTCTCCCAGTTTGACTTATTTTGACCCTCTCAAAGAACCGGAATCGAGAACCGAAAATAACCGGAATCGAAAAGCAGAACCGGAATCGTTAAAATCCAAACGATATCCAACCCTATGTGTGATGCAGTAAAATCTTACCGCTCACTTACGTTAGCGGTGTCGTAAAAACCGTGAAAAAAAAAAAAATACGATGACGAAGAAGAAGATTCCAGTGGCCCCAATTTGTGTCCATTCTGGACAAGTGAAAAATGTATTCGGACAAGTACATTTCCAAACTCACTTGTCCATGGACAAGTACTCTCTAAAAACTTTTTCTCACACTGCCTTTAACCCAGAACTGCAAGACTGGGGAAAAATCAGGAGAGACAACGGAAATAATGGATGACACGCATCTTATCTCTGAGCTATTGTTGACACACCATAGTGACAGCTGGTGGACCTTCACTTAAAGACTACCTGCCTTAGAAGGATCTGAACAGCAAAGCCACAGTTTCGTTGATGAAAAGATCTTTTCATGGGGAGCAAAGCAACAGGATTAGGGAGTAAGGGAATACTAAAATGTGATGATGATTATGTTTCCAAAACAGATGTGCATCACCTGTAGAGTATACACACCCTAAACTCTGGTCATGCTACAAGATGAGTTTGACAACAATGAATACATTTAGCAAGTAATTTATCCAGCTAGTTTGCTCATTTTTTAGATAACTCATTTAAAATGTTCTTTTTGTTTAGACATTGCGTATTGTAACTCAATACTTTAAGTGTTATAATATCTTTAGTAATAAATAACCTTGTTATAGGAGTTGGTCGTTTGGTAGTAAATCTCATTCCTCTTGTGTTGGCATCATAGACTGTGTATAAAGTTGGCACAGCCTATTTGCCATGTCATCCCAGGCTAGTTGGAAGAGGCCTTTGCCTTTCCTAGAAGCGGCCAATACTTTTTTTTCAAAACAGTCCAGCAGCCATTGCATCACACACACTTTAAACCAGTCATAAGACAGCTACAGGAACCGTTAGCCTGACAGCAACAGTGGGTGGTCGGTGTATGCAAGTTAGCAGCTTCTGCTCTTACCCCCTGTGAGTCTTTGACAAAGTAGCTCCCACTAGATCCCTGGTAGATCCTCTCCGGGTAGATGCCCTCCTCGATGGCTCGCTCGGCCTTTCGGATGATGTCTCTGAACTCGGGATCCTCCGGGAACTCGTTCCTGTGCGGCTCCCGCGGCGAGCTGCCCCGGTCGAGGAGCGGCTGTCTCTCCCGGCTGCGCCCCGGACTGCCTGCCGGGATACGGACCACCGAGCCCGGGGTACTTCCAAACGCGCCCCGGGGGCTGGTGGGCTCTGTGGGACAGTAGCTGAAATCACCCGAGTCCCGGAGTGGAGAGACGAGCGGACTCGTCTCGTCCATGATGTTGGAGGTAAATAAGAAGTGTTAACTCCTGGAGAAGGACAAGAAAGAGAAACTAAGACGAAATGGAATAAGTCAGTGTGGCCGTTGTTTTGTTGGCTAATACTGAAGCTGGCTAACAAGGAAACACGGAGAAAAAATAAAAGTCAGGTGACTGTCAGCTTCCGGGGAGAGGCGGGACCTGTTGAGTATTTTGATTTTTAACCAATCAGCGTTTGAAAGGTCCTGTCAACAACCTAATCTCTTCCGCTGATTCGTCACAATCATTCAACCCACGGAAGGCACGTGAGAGCACACCTAATTCAATCAATTACCTCAATAAAAAAAAAAAAGCATTTGATGACAAATGAATCACCCGTGACTTTTACAGTGTTGAAGAATAACTGTTTTGTTAGCCATTTTTAAACCGATAAATATTGACAAACTATGTCATTTAAAACGTTCTTTCTTTGAAGAAACTCATTCATCTCATTAAGTGTTTAATTGTATTCTGTGTGTGTCCCTGGACAATTAAATACTATGTTCAAGAGTAGCTTTCCAATGAGAAACACATGACAAATGTACATTTAGTTGGCAAACTTAAATTGCCCCAATGGAAATGTCCAATGTCACCAATGTTAATATCAAAAGATCTCTAAATGCAGTGTCATACTCAGTTGGCACTTTGATTCTGATTTGAAGTAAGGGTTGTTGAAGGATGTTTAAACCACATGACTTGCTTTGGAAAGAAAATGTGTAATTCAGTCAGTGTTTGTCATATTTGGGGAAGTCCATCTCACAAGTTCATGATGTCCTCATAAATCCTTGTGAGCAAACTGCAAATTAAGAATAAATACTCTTTGATGTCTCTGTTTTATATCGTTAAACGACACCACATTCAAACACGTAATTTTCAAAGCTGTTTGTTTGTGTTTGTCAATGTTTGGGGCTATAAATATAAGTCAACTAATAAATGAATATGTATAATTATTGTTTAACCTACTTTAACCTATTGTGTTAACCTATATGCTGTAGGCTATAAAGTAATTAAACATTGCTTCACCCAGTACAAATTGGCAACAGTAACATTAAAGTGAAAAACACATTGTCACATCACTAATTGTCATCCACTGTTATTATTTTTATTTTTCTTGATCTACACAAATCCTATGTCGGTGCTTAGATTTTGAATACAGGGCAGTTACTTCAAATACACTACTTTTACACTATACTTTAGTATTAGCCTACTATAAAATATCTGATACTACCACAAAAGGCAGTTTTCCAGGCCTGCAGGATGCAGTGCTGGGCGTGTGGACGTGCCTCTGTTCGCATCCTCCTCCTCCTCCTCCGGCAGACACAGCTCGTCCTCTGATTGGTTGAAACCGGCAGGAAGAGAGCTCGTGTCGTGAGATCTGTCAAGTTCGGACAGATCAGCCAACTCCTCACACAAAGTGCCATCAGAACATCCCTTTAGAACCACAAAAATACTGCGTTCGCTTTTTTGTCGCCGTCTTTTGTGTTGCAGCGAAATCAGGACACATCTGCCGGCGTTGCTGCCCCATTTTAACCAGAGTCACTTTTCCCGGAAATACAGCGCAGAGGGCATCGGTGTGAGGATGGCTGCCTACAAGCTGGTGCTGATCCGCCATGGAGAGAGCTGCTGGAACCAGGAGAACCGATTCTGCGGCTGGTTCGACGCGGACCTGAGTGACACCGGAGAACACGAGGCAAAGAGAGGAGGGCAGGCCCTGAAAGGTACCAGATGATCAATGACACACGGCCTAATCGGGCTTTTTCTCTCGGTCATTGGATTAAGACAGGGCTTGTTATGCAACTCTGCTGAATAGGGAGACAACAGGTAGCAGGGCCCACTGCGACAAAGCACGAGCCAGCAGTAACCAATCATCTTTATTAGGCTGCATGAAGTTATAACAAACTGGAGAATGTAGATGCTGCAATTGCAAAATGGCTTGATCATACATTCTGGCACTCACTTTCTGAGTCTTTATGTTCTTCGTGTCCTACCTAAGACACTTGCAATATATTTTAGGAATTGCATAATATCCATTGTGTGGTGAATTTATAAAGTAAGTAAATGGGGAAGTCATGGTGCCATCCATCTATTAAGAAATATCCAAAAAGATGTAACTGGAATTTAGGTACATTTTCAAATGTACAGCACCTACACGTCATTTGGATGTCATTTCTTGGATGTCTTGAGGAAAAAGTGAGCAAGCCAGCAGATTCACTTCATTTTATTGTTATTTTATCTAATTTTCCCCAGGGATAAATAATGTATAATGATTGGTGTTAATTATTTTCAGACTGCAGAGCAAAGGAGCCTTTGTTATCAACTTATCAGTATAGATTACTGCTGTTGGCTGAGTGAAATGTTGCCATTCACTGAGCTTCACAGTGTTTTATTTAATGTATTCCATTTCTTGTGACCCAAAGATCCTCTGCAGGCCCGTCCTGCAGAGCCCCCAGCCTGCCAGTGTCCCCTGGTGTGGCCCTGCCCCTGACTAAGCAAAAGCATAAGATGTTGCGAGAGAAGCAATAAACAATGCTGATGTTTCCTTTGTGTTAAAAGACACATTGTATGTGTCTGCTGCCCTGCTCTTACACTTTAATGAAACCTCTCTCTTTTCACGTCTTGTCTCTGATCACTTCAGACGCCGGCTATGAATTTGATATCTGCTACACCTCTGTCCTTAAGAGGGCCATCCGCACCCTGTGGTTTGTTCTGGACAGCATCGATCAGATGTGGCTGCCCGTCCACCGGACCTGGCGCCTGAATGAGCGCCACTACGGTGGCCTGACAGGTCTGAACAAGGCTGAAACAGCAGCCATACACGGAGAGGCACAGGTCAAGATCTGGAGGCGCTCCTTTGACATTCCTCCTCCATGCATGGAAGAGGGGCATGACTTCTATCAGTCCATAAGCAAGGTGGGAGCACTGGAAAACATGTTCTGTCTTACATGCAGACATCTTTATCACGTCAGTGTAAGGCAACACAATTGACAACATTCTTCTTCTGTTGTAGGACCGCCGTTACTCCGACCTGACAGAGGACCAGCTTCCCAGCTGTGAGAGTCTCAAGGACACCATCGCCAGGGCTCTGCCTTTCTGGAACGAAGAGATCGTTCCTCAGATCAAAGAAGGAAAGAGGGTGCTGATTGCTGCCCATGGCAACAGTCTCCGAGGCATCGTCAAGCACCTTGAGGGTAAGAGACAGAGCAGATACTTTTAAGCCACTCAGTGCCATACGTATAAACGTATGGCACTTTAAACTTTAACATAGGGTATATAAACCCTATGTTAAAGTCAAGCATCGAAGATTTGATTGTTTCTCACAATATTCCAAAGCCATAAAGTATAAGGAATTCATTTGTACTCATAAATACCCCTCAAATGATCCAAGATTGAATAAATGAGTTTTGGAAAAAATTAAACAATTTGAAATTAATATTTTTTTACGTTATTTATTTCTAACTTATACAACCTTAAGGTTTATCATAAACGAATGCATGTGTGCTTCATTGTTTGTATTTCACTAAATAGGGTGTTCACTTAAAAAGATGTGCATCCTATCTGTGATGCACAAAAAATGAAACAAAATGTGAATTTAACAGATTATTGAGTTGCAATTATTTGGTCATAAGGAATGATTATGTTAACTTTCTTCAGACCATTGGAAAGGATTAATGCACAAGGGATGTGCGTAAAAGTGCGTTTGATGATTAGATAACTTGAAAATATAACCGTCATTTCTGTGTCAAGGTAATTCAATAGAATACTTTGCTGACCTCAGCTCATGAGAACCTGATAAACTACTTGAAATAAAACTGTTATGTCTAAGTCTGATGAGATTTTTAAAAGCATTTCAATGCAAATAAACCCTAAACTCTGAATATATTTTACTTTTGTACAAGGTATGTCCGAGGAGGCCATCATGGAGCTGAACCTGCCAACAGGTATCCCCATCGTGTACGAGCTGGACAAGAACCTGAAGCCTTTAGGACCCATGCAGTTCCTGGGGATGAGGAGACCGTCAAGAAGGCCATGGAAGCTGTGGCTGCTCAGGGCAAAGCCAAGAAATAGACCCCCTTTCCTCTGGATGAGCTAGAGTACAGATCAATCATGTGTTTTTCTGTTATTAATTTATTACCAAGTCAATTACTGTTACCGTCATTACAGACACACGATGTGCACTTTATTTTGATGACACCCAGCTTTGGCACACTAAATTAGTCTTTACTTTGTGAAATACTGAAACACACATGTCAGTATAGTGGATTTCAGCTATAATATGGTTTAACTATTGACCAAAAAGCAAATTTCGGGACCAGCAAATATGAGCAAATATAGACTAACCCTGCAGAGTCACCCCGTGTAATCATTCCTATTTCTGATCCGTGTAGGTGAAGCTCAGATGGAGCAGTATAACCTATAAAGAAACACTGGCTGTTGTTAAAAGGGCAGGTTGATATGATCTGCACTGCTGATATATGTTTGCTGTGGCATTGTGAGAAAAATAAATAAATGTTGTGAACCATTATATTATGTTTAATCTGTGTCCAACATAATTTTCTTGCATAAATGTCCCCTATGTTTATGAATAATATAGTTAAAGAGTTGGTTGGGTTAAGTCCCTCAAAAAAGAATACTCAATAGGTTTTGTTTTAAAGGAAGACTACCTACTTACATGCAAATCATTTCAGGTTTTTATTTTTAGGGTACTATGCTAAATTCAGAGAGACTTATCGATTCTGTAACTGTTCTTTGCCATGCTTCCCCCCCTAAAATAAATAGTTTTATTCCTAATCACACTTCAGTGCATGCCCCATATTAATAAACAAAACCAATCCAATTAGAATATTGCTATTGCTTTCACAATTGTCATTAAAGACAGTACTTGATGTAATTCAAACTATGTATTATTAATGTATAACATTATTAGTATTCATAATGTTATAAACTGTTACCGAAGAAGTAGGTAACAGTCCTTATGTTATGTAATATATTTAATGTGTGGATGGTTCTGCTTTGCTGCATCTCTTGCGTTGACATGTGCTCATGTTTGCCTCAACAAAAATGGCCGACTGAGCCGTCCTGCTTCCGCTCAGCGTGACACAGACCAATCAAAATCGACTCAAGCTCTTCGTCATAGCCAATCGACTGGAGGATCTGCTCTTCTCGAAAACATGTCGCCCATGAAGCTGTGTGTTCCAGGTGAGTCCCGTAAATGTAATTTTACTAACACTTAGGATGTAGTTAAACCAAACTTTGGAACATTTTGTCCTCTTGTGTCAATTGTGCCTTTAGTCAATGTCGCTATGGTCCTAGAAAATATAGTCAACGATGCAGTTTGACAGTGTTAAACTCCGTTAGTTATTCCCAGCTGCCATGAGTTGTTTGGGTTTTGGATTTTAACACAGAAAACGTTACCTTTTAGTTTCTAGTAAAACTGTGGCTCGTATCAGATGACGGTTGGGCTCTTTAAGAAAATAAATGTAAGTATACCGTACTTCTGGCTCAGATCTGTGAGACTTTTACTTTCTACAGCATTTCATCTCCTGCCCTGCCCATCGCCCCGGGCATACAGCAGCATTCCTTCTCACACTTGTTTTGACTCACCCATGTAACATGCTGAGTTATATTGTGCAGAAGGAAATGTAAAAAAAAAAATGCTTAAAACCCAGCAATTATTTGAGGTCTGACCTTATTGAGTCTTTAAAGTTGCGTAGAAACACCAGAAATATAAAGTAGCTACATGTGTTCAGTGTGTCAGTCCCACAGGATTTCATGTCATGTTATGCCAAAGTGGAGTTACTGAAAGAAACAAAATATGTTTTTTAAGAGATTAATAACTGTACTCCTTTAGAGGAAGGACTGTTATGGAAATATTGTTGTATAAGGTAAATCATATTTTCTGTGCAGACAGGACTTTGTTTTGTTTCTGGAACTGTTTTACTTTTATTCCTAATATCCATGTTATTTTTCTTCTTCACAATAATTTACTTTGCTATATATATATATATATATATATATAGCAGCATGAAGTCTGGGAATGCATAATAGTTATACATTGAAGTAGGAATACACACAATGTCCCGATGTCTAGTAAATAACATCTACTACATAATAGCCACACTTGTTTTATTTTTGGTATTTACTTTGTGAAAGCAGTACTTTGGTATTTTACTCCCTATGGTTGATATTATTCCTCACAAAACTGTATAATGTATTCAGATTCTAGGGGTGATGGTCCACCTCCACTTTTAGAAAGCTGACATAAGACCTTTTCTCCAACACTGTCTTTATTTTCATCCCTAGGTGACAAGCTATGCAGCACAGAAGACTGTATTCCCGGCACAGGAATTTATCTGCGACACGGCTGCATTTACTCCTCACTAACAGGCTATGTGCTTAAGAAAAATGAAGGAGAGGAGGTAAGGGGTGTGGTGGGTGTGTCTGTGTGTAGGAGGGAGGTAGGGGAAGCTGCAGAAGCAATGAGGAGTGCCAGAGTGTTGTCGTGCAACATTTGTGAATGAAGGAACACACATATTTATCTTCATTCACAAATGTTGCGCAACATTCTGGTGAAATGGCAACTATTTTTCAAATGACAGGTTTATTCCTCGGGCTGTTTTTTAACTTCAACAATAACTGAAATGCTGTTTGCAATGTGTCTCTTTTAAGTTACCAGTGATCTCGGTTGTAAGGGAAACAGAGACACAACTACTACCAGATGTAGGAGCTATAGTCACCTGTAAGGTATGCAGCTGAATCTGATACTATTTCGCTACTTATGATCTGATTGCGATCCTTCATAGCTTGGATTACGATCTGTGGTTTGTCTCAAGCCTAACTGTTTTTTGCTTGGACAGGTGACCAGCATTAACCCCAGGTTCGCAAAAGTCCACATCCTTTATGTGGGCTCCACACCGCTGAAGGACCGCTTCAGAGGAACTATCAGGTAAACTGCCCCTCCATAGCATAAAGCTGCGATCTAAACCTCCAGTTAAAGAAACAGCTTCTGTCCTCATCAACAAGTCTGGGACAATCACTCACTGTCTTATCTCCTCCCACTGACACTGCGTTACCTTAAAGGGGCCCTATTGTGCTCTTTTTCAGGTTCATATCTGTATTTTGTGAAATGTTTCCATGCTTTAAAGTTGAAAAAGCTATTGTTCTCATACTGCCTGTGATGCAGCCCCTCTTTTCACCCTCTGTCTGAAACCAGAGCCCAGTCTGCTCTGATTGGTTAGCTGGCCGGCTCGGTTGAGATGGGTTTACTGCTTAGAGATGTACCGCCCCTTAGCCTATCACGCACAATGTGTCAGAGCGCTAGCCAATAGAAGTGTTACGTAGTGATGTCACTATGTTATGGAAGTAAACAAAGGAGTACAATGGAGCGGTTTCAGGCAGGCAGGGGGGGGAAGAGAAACTCCCTCTGGAGGAACTTTGGGGATTTAACCTCTGCAGACCATTTACATGCACCTAAACCTATATAACACACTACAGGGAAGGGAAAAGCATAATTGGGCTCCTTTTTAATGGATTAATCTCTCATACTTCAAACAGTGAAACCTTTGCAAATTGATCTGACTATCGTTCACATTTCTGCACAATAATACCACTTTTGAAAACCGCACAGTTCTTCCACTTTTAATTCAGGTGTACTGTACATTTTCTCTTACTGTGTTTATGTATGGAACATTGTACACCAAAGCACATTTCTAGTGTGTGCAAACCTACTATTTGATTCTTATTCTGAATCCTGAAACTGTCTCCATAGTGAAATAAGGTTCTCTCTGTGTCATTCTCAAAACTGAGCCAATTCTTTCTGACTCTACAGGAAAGAAGATGTGCGTGCCACAGAGAAAGACAAGGTGTGTTTTAATCCATGATTTCAATCAGATCATTAGATGTTTACTTATTTAAAAGATGACATGCTTAGCGTTAAGCTTTTGTCTTTATTGTTACAGGTGGAGACGTACAAAAGCTTCAGACCTGGCGACATCGTCTTGGCCAAAGTTGTATCCTTCTCTCGGGTCTAAGTAACAATCTCAAGAATGAAACTATTTGAGAGCTATGCAAAGTATTTAGCTCGCCTTTTGTTTTCATCCTTTAAACTCTGAATGACTGGGATAGTAAACAAAGAAGTCGTGTTCTCTGCTATTACTCTCTCTGGGGGCGTGACACATGCACTTTGTTACTTTTAAAAACCCATCAAAACGGCTTTGGATATTCACTGAGTCAATTTAAAAGAGCAATGCATTAGTGTAGATGTGTGTACTATCTGTTGTTAACCCTTGACCTGTGTCAGATTTCTCTCGGAGACGTGCAGTCAAACTACCTGTTGACAACAGCAGAGAACGAGCTGGGGGTGGTGGTGGCACACAGTGAAGCAGGTAACTTTCAAAAAACATTTTCCACTTCAAAACACAGCACTGCGCAGATTGAACGTATCTTGTTTGAACACCAGGTGGTGCAAGACGACTGACCTGATCAGACTCAGAATAAGTTTATTCATCCCACAGAGGGGAAATGTACATTTGTTACAGCAAGTAAAGAGCCAAAGATAGCTTAATATCACTCAAGGAGCATGCATAACAAATATTAAACGATAGAAATTGAACAATTTACAAAATACACATCAATTACCAGTAACTGTTTTGAAAATATAGCAGCCAGGTGAAAATATTAAATGTGGAAGTATATATTGTACAGCTATTTACAGTAAATATATATTGCACATAGGTAGTATTGCACTACAGGGTTGTTATAGTCTTTGTTGTTATGTGTGTGATAAACTTGAGACAGTTATTGTCACAAATATTTGCAAAGTGAGTCGTATTTATCAAACATTTGCTGTTACAGTTTGGCAGAAGTTTTGTAACTGTTTTTAGTAACCAAGCATGGTTTTGTGTATAAATGTAAGAAAATGACATGAGGAACTGCTTTCAATCCAAGGAAGTGACAAAATAATGAGTGACATTTAAAGCTACAGAAGTGTTGAATGCCAGACAGCTACCGCAGACAGAACAGTTTGATTCAAGGATTTAAATCAAGGTCAAGGTTTTTGAAAAGAAAATACGGGTCATTGTACATGCTTGAATTTATATAATTTTGTAATCTATTGAAATGTTATTGTCTGCTACTTTCTGTAAAGCCTGCTACATTTCATTCTTAAAGTTCTCAGGGTTTTTAACAGTAGTGAGTGAATCGTGAGTCTTGTCCCAAACTATGTTATGTGAAGGACCTTTAGAGAATTGGGCCTGGAAAGTTCTGAATTAGATTTTTAAAAAGGTGTATGAACCAATAATTGAATAATGTATATTGCTGTGGACACTGATTATAGAATATATTGTCTCTTATTTTACCACACTTTGTCTTTGTGAATCAGGTGCGCAGATGGTTCCCATCAGCTGGTGTGAGATGCAGTGTCCGCAGACGCACAGCAAAGAATTCCGCAAAGTGGCGCGAGTGCAGCCGGAGTTTCTTCAGGCATGATGAGACGACAGATTATATCACAAGGAACACACAGCTTCACCTCTCTCTTTCACTTACTGACCTAACAGCCTCGCAACTCTGTTATAGATGTTTCTTTCTGAAATATTTTATTCGGCTACTTCTATTTTTGTATAGCTCTCTGGACATGGTGTCATCGTTTGATTGGTCCAGCTGGAATACACTGAATCAGCATCAGGCATATTCTAAACTATGTAGTGACTGTTGTTAGAAATGTTTCGCTCAGTGCACGCATCAGCAACATTAGTTATTAAAGTTGCATTTCAATTGCTTGATGACAACCCTGGCTGACCTAGTGACATTGTAGCTGCCCAACTTTGTAAGTGTCCACTATGTTGAAAAGCATAAGTGAAGAAAGGACTATTTCACAAAGGCAGCATTTACTCACAAGTATTATGGCCGATCATCTAGTGACTGAGGATGAAGCAGTTGGTGCAAACACAGATTTGTAAGCAGAAATTCTTTAAAATGGCTGTTATTGGTCTGAAATTATGAGGATTTGACCAACATTGCTGCACTTTGAAACTTCTTTTGCATGATGTCATTTTTGCAACTTTTATTTTGTACATTAAAAGGACACAAACATCCTTTCCAACTTCTGGAAAAGGTTGTCTGCAGCAGAGGGGAGTGATATGATTGAGAGCCTAATGTGTAATCAGCGTCACAGCTGGACTGGATGTTAGTCAGATATTTCTCTTGGTTTACAGAAGATTGTCAAAATGAAATGAATGAGCCGACAATATGTAAGCAGACATTTTTCCATTCTGTCTGGAAGTTTGCAAAATAAAAAACTATAAACATTTCTAAGTTATAATATTATTTTGTGATACGTTTGCACAACCATCCACACATGTTTTCAAGATTATACCTATTCACATACACATTTGGATCAATCATCAAAGCGAACTGATCGGCTTGAATGGATGTCAATGGAGAACTTCTTGTTCGAAGCTGGAGTGAACCCGAGTCCGGTGCCCCTGTTACTGAAGTCAATCCTACGCGACTGTGCACGTTCAAACTCTCCCACAAGCCCTTGCTGCAGCTGTTCCTGTGCGCCCTTCCCCAGTGCCATGTTTGCTGCCCCGCTGCTGTCCGATGCCGGCTGGAAACCCTTTTTGAAGCCGCCCATCAACCGGAGGAACTTCTGCTGCTTCTCAGAGCTGTTGAACTCTGCGGTGCTCCACTGGCCGAGGCCCTGAGAGTGAGAGATATTGGGGGGGGGATATTAAAAACTGAAGCACTAAGGAGCTCTCTACTGGTTTTAACCGTAATTGTTTGTCAGCAGGAGTAAAACTCAATCTGTGAAAATGGTTTTAAATGTCTTCTGGAGGAGTTTTCTAAAGTCTGATCAAATAACCCTGATGATGTTCAGATATTCTCAGAGATTAAATTGGTTACATTTCAGGAAAAACACTCACACAAAAAGTCACGATAAAATCGTGAATTTGGAACAAAACTGGATCAACGTAATAATCGCACAGGAATGCCACAAGCGTACGTTAGCTGAAACATTGAGATATCCTTTTTCTCTAAATTCACCACACCCACAGCAATAGCTTCTCCAGGTCTGAATACTAATGAAAATGTGGTGATTATCGGCAAAAAATCTCAAGTTTTCCCTCATTGTTAAATCTGATCGCAAAGTATAATTTGATTAGGTCATCTACGACAAGTGGCTTCCTCTGGTGTGTGATGAGGACGATCCAACCCTGCAAAGTAGGGCAATGTTTTTTTTAGGTCCTTAAACCTTATTTATGTATAACCCTAAAACACTGGAGTACCCTTTTAAAAGAAAACCAGCTAAAAAGGGACATCCCAGAGTTTAATATCTCTACGAAAAGCTAAATGACATACCGTTGGTTTGGCCGGAGGTTTGGAGGCGTTGTCGACCTCCATTTGTAAAGACTGTCTTCTTTCCTGTGATAAAAAACAACACACTTTATCAAGAGTTAGTGTGTTACTGACATATCAAGTAGTTAACTGATTTATTTTAAAAAAAGTTCTCTAAAAATGTTATACAGACTTTTTTGCAGTTACATGAGGAATGCAACTTCTCTCATGTTTGTATAAATATGAAATTCAGCCATGTTTCTCTCCAGTGGATTCAATAAATTACACACGTGTCACTATACAAATATTTATGTTTATTTAGTTTTACCTTTGGATAACAGCCGGTTAGTTGCTTTCAGTCTGTGTGCTAAGCTAACTGGCTGTTTACACTAGCTTTGTATTTACCAAGCAGACAGTGTTATCCATGCAATCAGCGAACTCTCAGCAAGAAAGTGAATAAGAGAATTCACAGAAATTCTATCCACAGCAATAAATATCAACCCACTGACTAGAGCCCTGTTTACCTGGTTGATGTTGACCTCATCAGCGTTTCCTGTTTTCTCGGACAGGAAGACCACGTCCAGGACGTTGTCTGGTTCCTGAAACACAACAAAACACAAAAAAGGTTCACTCCCGATGTAAAACCATAAAACATTAGAGCATGATATCAAACACTTCTAACAACCAACACTCACATGTTGGTCTTCCGGCTCTTCTTTAATCTTCTTCTTTTCGGCACTAGTTAAATAACTCACATTCTCCACCGGGGTTTCCTCCTCAGTGGAGCTTTTCTTCTTCTTCTTCTTCTTTCCTGCAGGTTCACTACAGTGCTCCTGAACTTCTTCACATTTGAGTTCTGATGCTTCTTCCTCCTCTCCCTTTCCCCTTTTCTTCTTCTTCGGCTCTGTGTCCTCTACTTCACTGACCTCCACAGAAGCTTGTCTACGCTTTTCTTTTTTTCCTTTGGTCTTTGGCTCCGTCTCAACTTCGTCGATGACAATACTCTCTGCAGATTTTTCTTTCTTTTTTTTGAGTACCTTTTCTTCTGATGCTTCTTTGCTCTTTTTGTTGTTAACTTTGTTTTGGATTGTTCCTAATTCACTTCCATCTTCTTCACTATCAGCCGATGTCCTTCTTTTTTTCACCTTAGCCTCTTCTCCCTCTGGTGTTTCCAACATCACTCCATTTGTATCCACTTTGGACTTTTTATTTTTTGTGTCACCATCTACAGGTTCAATGGTTTTCTTTTTCTTTCCTTTAACTTGCTCCTCAATCTCCTCTGTACTTACTACTAAAATGTGTTTTCGCTTCTTGGCTTTCTTCTGCAAATGATCCTTTACAGCATGCTTTTCACCCTCCTCCTCATTTTCTGATTTCATCTGCTCAGACTTATTTTTGGCTTTCTTTTTCTTCTGTTTCTTTTCTACTTCCTCTTCTTTCACTGAACTGAACTCTTCCGTTTCCACCTGCTTCTTCTTCTGCTTCTTCTTTATACTGATTTGATTGTCATTTTCTTTCTTGGCGTCAGAACCATTGACACCATTTAGAGTTTCAGAAACAACCTTCTTCTTTTTTTTTTTCTTCTTCTCTATCTTGTCGGTGGTGACATCCGAAGACTCCTCTTCTGAATCTATAACAATAATATCAACTTTTTTACTTTTCTTTTCCTTCTTTTCTTTTTTCATAACAACTTGGCTCCCATCTTCATCAGTTATGTTGTTATTTTCCAGCGGAGAGGCTTTTACTTTCTTGTTTTTCTTCCCCTTCTTAACACATTTCTCCTGACTCAGCTCTTCCTTCATCTTCATTTTCTCCCCAAGGCAAAAGACCGCTGGCTTGTCTGGTGAAAGAAATACAATTACGGCAAGACAATACCTTTGAGAATATATTAGGCTCTGTGTGTGACTAACGGAGAAATAAATACTAACCAAGGGTTTGGCTGAGCTGGAACAGCTTATCAATGTCTTTTTGCAGGGCCAGTCACTTTACCTGCAGGTTACAGAGGGGAATTGTGTTAAAATGTTTATCATTTTAGTTTGAATGCAACAAATACTATTACTGTTATCCATCAGCAAACTCATTTTTCTAGATAATATATGTATGTATCAGACAATTGAAACACTGCACATGTGCAACTTTTCTACAGGTTCTACTTATTTATTAACTGTAAATTGTTTATTATTCAAGATTCAGTAACGCTTAGAGTTGTATTAAAATACCTACATTCATGTACATTTCTCAGGTTGTGTAAAACATGAACAGGTTGTTGTGTTGTTATTTATTTTTTTGCCTTCCCATTAAATGAACATGCTTTCAATGAGTGAACACATCAATGTCAACAACCCTTAAATCAAGAAAGGACATCAAGTTAAGATTGAAAAAATCCAGAATAATAATATTGCAAAAACACCACTTTTAGGCAGAATAAGATCACCACGTTTATTTTTAGCACTCTCTTACCATGCTAGCTGGCAGCTAACAGCAGCAGCGAACGTTTAATTGTTCAAAGTAGTTAAAAGGTTAAACCGATAAAGAAACAAACTAAACAGTCAGCCAGATGGCAAGACTATTTACCATAGCTGAACAGTTCATTATGAAACGTTAACTCGATGAGCTGTTAACTTACTTTGCACTCTTTGATAATTCACGTGGATACCAGTGTCCTCTCTTCACCCGGAAGTAGTTCCCCCCGTTTCCTCTTAGCGACGTGCATGGTTTCCGTAGCAACGAGTGCCCAAAACTAAATTCAACAGGTAGTTAGTCTTCTAATGTCATTTATTGTATCTTATTTCGGTTGTATTTCTCGGTTTTACTACCATATACTATTTATTTATTGAAATGAGTAACTCGTCGTAAACGTGTGTAGCAGGTGTGTTAGTTGTTTTGCCCTTTTATCAAACCAAAAGACACACCTGCAGTCAGTCAGCAAAAGACCGAAGCATTGCCCAGTTATTAATAAAACTAACTATTATACATGTACAAACAATCAAAAGGAACTGAAATGAACAGGAAAAACGTAAACAAACAACAATCAAATCATGTTTAAAGTGTATTATTTTAGAAAGTAGGCAGGGTTTTAACTATACTGTCCCTCTTCATTCTTAACAACTAATTATAATTCTGTCCCTTTTTGTATGTACAAAATTCATGAATGAATGAGAAGAGATGGTCTGAAAGTGTTCAATATTATCCCTAATACAATAATAAGTATTCTGAACACTTGTGTTTTAAGATGTGGTCGGACAACACTTTTTTATATTTAGCTAGTTTCAATCATGCTCTGCCTGTAATCTAAACCCGACTTCTACCTCACCTTCAGCTCCAGAAGTCAAAGGTCAGTGGACCAACATGCCTCTACTGACTTACATTGGCTCTAGCTTGAACCTGCAACTACAGTACTTCCTGTCACTGGCTGCAGCCCCAAAATCCTCCTGCTTCTCCTGGTGTCCAGCCAGTGAAGATCTAGCAACCACCTTGATGGTCTCCTATTTCGAGCCTTACACCTAAAGCTTTAGGAGGTGAGTCGTATCTATCCACTTAAGACCTCATCCGCTGCCTACTACTGTTAGCTTCAAAACCACTCACGTCTATGACAGCTAGGTCCCAATCTTTTATCTCCAGCTTCCTTGAGGACTTAAACCTACAATCTGGGCAAGCAGCAGTGCAACCACTATCTGCAGCCTCTACTATCCAAAGCTTTAGGGAGCAGTGACTTTTTAAACACCCTAATTCCATTTTGAATTTTAGAAGAGATGATTTATTACACTTTTTGGAAGAATATAGCTATTAGGTGTACTGGGTCTCAATTCAACACACCACAAGCTCTATATACTTGGTATAAATCATTCAGAAATCTTCTTATTACTAGAAATAACAATCCAGATCAACCTCATTCTTTACTTTATATAAAAATAACTACTTCTGTGATGTTTTATGGATGTACTTTTAATATTTTTGTGAATAATCTTGAAAATCAAATATGGAAATTAGTCTGAAGTATCAACTGGAAACCTTGCATTATTTATTTATTTGCAGCCTTTTTTTTATTGATATTGACACATTTGTGAGGATATCTTCTTTGTTTGTTTGCTTGTCTTTTATTGCAGTGCAGTCATTTTTCTCTGTCACTGCACATGCCTCTCCTCTATGTGTGTATAGCTGATTGTATAGCTGCATCCCTATAAAGTGACTCATGGATAATGACAAAAGACCAGTTCAATAACCAGACAGTTATTAACCGAAATATGCACTGATGTATTAGCCACTTTGTGCAAACCACATTACAGACATTCATGTTACGCTGCCATAAGACAGTGACAGGGCTATTACTATAAGAACATTTAAAAAAGGAAAAATACAATTTTCACATTTTGATTATTTACACAATTAAAACTCAGGTATATAGGGTAAACACATACATCTTGTAATGGTTATATTTGCATTGTACAATATCTGAGCACACAAAAAGGCAAATTATTTACTTTAGTTTTATATAACAAAAATAAATGGTCAAAGAAATTGTCATAAAATAAACATAGTGAATGGCATTATAACTTGATCAATTGTCCTGGGTTGAATTTTGTATTTCCAAGGAAATTAAAACGGATGCTTATTAGAAATCTACATGGTGCCAAACTTTGCCCTTCTACTAATAAAAACAGTGTACATGTGTGTGAGTCGGTTCCAGTTATATTCACAGTGATGGATGAGTTAATGTTTTCTCTAGATAACATTTGAAGGGATCCTGAATGCCAGAATATAATGACAGTAGCAATACAATTTCTAACCAAGCATGATCAGTATAGCCTTATTGAATCCAGAGTAACTTTGGGAAAACATGAGTGAAACTGGTTGAGAAAACAGTCCAACCTCAAGGTCCATTTGGTAGCTGTTCCAGAGATTTCAGCTGTACAACATGGTCTTCCTTTGAGCACTTTAAGTGGATTTGTCAACCGCTATTTTCATTGTCAAGAACAAGCTTTGCAATAAAACACTGAAACAGTTTTTTCTCTTCTATATATATATATCCAAATTCTATAAAACATTTAAATACATTTTGACAAAATACATTACCTCTAAACTGCGCTTTTACATGCATCTCAAATGATCAGACATCTCACATATCACAATGCCCAGATATAATATAGTGCAAAATCACAACCTCAAACAGTAAACGTTACTGTATACACTGCAGCATTGCAGTATTAAATGGCTTTTTATCATAGGCTTATTAAAAACGACTAATCCATCCGCCGTAGACTATTTTTAGCCTTTTAAATCATCAGATTATTATTCAGAACTTTACACCAGCTCTGTTACTGCATGACAATTATGTATGAAACGTCCAATAGCACTGATAATAGAATGGAGACATGGAGAGAAAAACCCGAGTGCGAGTCCTTTGGGTCTTCCACCATGCCACCTCTGTGGGCGTATGTTTAAATAAACATCCTAAAGGCTTGTTTTTTTTTAGATGTATTCTTACACCAGATAGAAGAGAAGTAAAGTGTAGTTTTTGTGAAGCAAACATCACTGAGTTACAGCAATCATTTAGAGCTGCTCCCACATCTGTGTACTTCTATACATTCAAATCATACTTTAATCTTTTCTTTATTATGGTTAATACCACAGTGTTCGTTATTAACCTAATAGCATTCACCCTTCTGATGCACTCCATGTTTATGTATTTATTTACATATTACAATTAAAACTCTGTGTGCCTAATTAATGCATCATTACAACTGTTCCCTTATGAAAAAGTCTCCTAGGCTATGGAAGCTGAGTCACTTCGACCCTCTCTTTTGTGATTTTCTGTCCAGTCTGCTGAAAAATAGGAACGCAAAAGGAGAGCCAAAACACTATTAGGATTGGTTCTTAAAATGTAACATGTTGCATGGTGCATTTTTAAGGTCCCATCACATCCATTCTGTGATGCGATGTTTTCAAAATCTCCTTCTTCTTAGGCAACAGGAAATTCTATAATCACACACCAGCGTTACACCAGCGTTTCTTCTTCAAGTCTTGTCGCATATCACCATAACCGTCGCCCAGTGTAGTTTACTGGGGCTGTGGGCATCTACCAAAGAAACAAAAACATGTAGTAAACAAGTTTAGTATTGTTAGGGTTGGTTATTTTTATGTCAACAACTCACAATGTGTGTTTCTTCCACACTTACCGTTCCACCATTCATGACCAGAGCCATCTCAGTGGGTTGGTAGACGTGACCTCTGAAGGCGATGCCGGGACGCATACTCCCGTGGCTGCTGTGGTAGGTTCCAGTTCGGAGTGCTGACCCACCACGAAAGGTAAAGCACACACATGCACGTTATGGGTGTCATGCTAACAAATGTTACATCTGCTAACTAGACCATAATGGCTCCAGTTTCAAGGGAACCTTACCTACTATTATATGGCATATTCACACTGCATGGTATGTCACGGCTCTACCTTTTTGTGTGGATGGTACCTGCTACTGTTTTGATACTATCTCCTTGGAGGTTCTTAACAAGCAGAGCAGAAACTAGAAGGTGGAGTAAAACACTTTAAACTAATGATTAATCCATGAGAATATTCACCAGCGGATCATTTTGCGCAAACCTGGACCTTTCTTTATTAGCTCTATCCAAATATTTTAAAAGATGGTAGCTGGAGAAACTATAATGTACACTCGGCTGCACAACCGACAGCAATCAGCTGATCATCCCATCACACTAACCCCCTGATCCCACTGGAAGCGTCTGCGCCGCACTGCGACCTCCTCCTGCGTCATAACCCACCAGGCGCGTTTCAAAACGTTGCGGAAGCGGAGCGTCGTGTGTGCAGCCTCGCAGTTGTTGGATGAACATTCCACTTCCTGCCTGCGCTGCGCTGCGCCGCGTCAAAAATAGGATTCATCCTATATTTTAGAAATTCCTTGGGCGAGGAGCTTCTGGGACGCTTCGAGCCGCGGCGCAGCGCGGCGCAGCGGGTCTGGTGGAATAGCACCCATTGACTAGAGTGGCCGCGATCGCTAAAAACGCCGCAGCCGCAGCGCAACGCAGCGCAACGCAGCGCAACGCAGCGCAACGCAGCGCAACGCAGCGCAACGCAGCGCAACGCAGCGCAACGCAGCGCAGACGCTCCTGGTGGGATTAGGGGGTAAGGGGGTGCTCTTAACAGAGGAAAACACAATAAGCAGCTTGTACCAAAATGTAGTTGATTTGAGCAGAGCTCTACCATAATAGATTAAATGTATTTACCATGCAGTGGAAATGCAGCCATGTGATGACAGTGCTACTGATTTGTATAAATGAAACATATATTACATGTAAAGCAACTATTGGGGGATGATTAGCATAAGGGCGCTTACAAACCATTGACACTTCTCTTTTTTATACAGTTTAGGGCACTATTTAGCCAATACTTTTCTCAGATCTTGGAAAATGCAACTTAAATGGCGTATTATAAGAAATTGCAAGCACTAAGCTACAAGGATGTCAACTGATAAGGTGTGCTAACCTTATCATTTTTTATGCTAAAGCAGATACATCATATTTTTCTAATCTTAGCTCAAATTAGCCAATAAAAAAACACTGGTATGTTGGTAATCCTATAAGATCCACTTGGCATTTTTTCAGACAAAATGGTGTCATTTGGTCC